CCACAATGGGCTGGGTTCACACAACTTCCTAAACCCAAAGCAAATGCACAATGGTTCAGCATGACATAAGAACCTAAGCCCGTGATGGCGAACCTATGGCACGCATGCCACAGGTGGCACGCGGAGCCATATTAGTGGGCACACCAGCTCAGCTCTGGGGCGCATGCGCGCGCCGGCCAGCTGACTTTCGGGCCTTCTGGGCCCACCAGAAGTAGGGAAACAGGCTGTTTCCTGCCTCTGGAGGGCCTGGGGGCGGGGTGGGGAAGGCCCGTTTTTCTTTCTTACCTGGCTCCAGAACCTCTCTGTGTATCTGGGAAGGGCGAAAACAGCCTTTCCCACTCCCTTGGAGGCCCTACGGAGGCTGAAAGGGCCCATTTCCCAACTCCCAGTGGGACAGGAAGTGACGTTTTTTCCTGTCCCCAGCCTCCAGCCTCCAGAGACTCCTAGAGAGGCTCCTAGAGACTCCTAGAGAGGTTCTGGAGGCTGGGGACAGCAAAAAATGTCACTTCCTGTCCCACCGAGAGTTGGGAAATGGGCCCTTTCAGCCTCCGTAGGGCCTTCGAGGGAGTGGGAAAGACTGTTTTCACCCTTCCCAGATACACAGAGGATCTGGAACCAGGTAAGAAAGAAAAACGGGCCTACCAGACCATCATGTGCCAGGAGTGGGGGGGGGGGGGGAGGGGGGTCCGCACCCATGCACGTGGGCACATGCGTGCGTAACCCTCCCCCGCCCCCCCTCTCCTGGCATGCGATGGCAAAAAGGTTAGCCATCACTGACCTAGGCACTTGTTTTCCTGAGTTGTGATGTTGCCCTGATCAAATTGGCAGCTTCCTCCAGTCCCCTAAATATAGTTCAGATAAAACAATGCAGAACAATTTAGATGATACATCCCACATTATACGTGGCAAATATAATACTTGCTACAGCTTGTTCACATTATTGGTAGCCCGGTTCTAGGTAAACTGGACAGAGATTTTGTGGATGAGGAGATTTTCCAAACTAATGTCTCAGTTCATAATACATTTCTTTGAAGTTTACATTTGAACTTCCTCCCAGTGCAAATTTGACCTATTTCATGTCTCCTGGGCCTGTCAGAAGTAGAAAGTTTTCTGATATTTTGCTAAAACTCACTTCTTCCAATAAGTCAGAAAGAGGGTGTTTTACAATATGCTAGTGGTTTCTGTGGCATGCATTTTTTGTTTGTTTTTTTGCTTTTACTATGAATGTTCTTTCCGCATTTTGATTTAGGTGTTTGTTTTTAAAGAACTGTTCACTATTAGCTGCCTAGAGGCTTGAGAATGAGCAGTATACAAGTATAAATAAATAAATAGATAGATAAATCTTTTAAAAATGACTGACCACAACCATTCAGTCATGTCTACAATCTCTCACAATGAAAAAAGTAGCATTGAGCTGTAAACTCTGTCCCTTTGGGAATGTGACTGATATAATGACATATATCAGAAAGGGAGCAAGCTTTGTACCAACTCACATGATTCCACCAGTATCACTCCAACTCCCCTTGCCACCCCCTGAAAATGCTGCTGCCTCCATTACTAAATCAACATCCTATCTTTGCCTTCCTGAACTTGTCCCCAGTTGGCCTGTGCAGATGGCCAGTGCTGACCCAAAGCAATTAATTCTAATTAAACACAGACTTAAAACAACGTTATTTGTTTTTATCGCAACTTCAAGACTTCCATTAACTTCAGGCAAAGAGGACTGGTTTCTTTCTTTCTTCTCTCCTTCCAGAAAATTATGCTTTGAAACACATCTGTGAACATCTGATGCTCTTTGACAGTAATGACCAATGTTATACCCCCCCCCCAACTCTCATTATATCCTTCTGCTTTGGGCTTTCTGTTTTGCAGCTGCAGAACTTAAACATCTCAACAACCCGTATGTGAAAAACAAACTTGAGTGCACCGGGTGTTTAGGAATCAATTCAGAGTTTATATGTAAATAGAGTAACTTCCTGTGGAATTAAATGTGCTTTGTATTGACACAATACTGGCAATATCAAGGAAATGTAAATTAATGTTAGTTAGAATGTGTTCAGTATCTCTTCAAATAGACTCAAATAAAGTGGAATCCAAGATCTCCTTCCAGAATGCTACTATTCTGCTCTGGACCTACCTCATATTTTGTCCCTGCCTCTTTTTCCTGCCAATCCTTATATTCCTTGGACTTTCAAGAAAGCTATCAAGTTAATTGATGGTGGTGTTGCATTGTCCTTTGGGTATGACCATCCTCTGCGGATTTTTTTGGCTTGCTAGGGGTTCATGGCCTTGTGTGTTTAACCCAATTATTGAACCAAGGACTTTGCTTCCTGGCTACATGACAATTAAGAGCTTTTTTCCATCTGGCTCCAATTCTTTGGATCCCAACAAAATTATGTTTGGACTCAGATGACTTCAAAGTTTTTTTTTAAAAAAAGCATGAAAAATGCTTATTTTATAGCTCACTTTTAATAGCTAAATAAATAATACATTCTTAGCTGTAGAGGATTTAACTTGCCAGTCTGGCCGCCATTTTGGGAGTGGTCTCCAAATAAAGAAGATAAATGTCCCCAGTTCATGGGGGTACAGCAACTGAGATCATCCTGTTGTAAACAGATGCTGAAATCAAGCACATCCTCTGGTAAGGAGAATTTCACAACAGTTTGCCATTTCCTAATACTTAAACAAGCTTCTCGACAGGATTTGTCCCCTGCGTATAGGATTTCAACTCTAGTCATCAGCAAAGTATATGTAGTTTAAGTACAGTTTAATACAATTTTCTCTGATGGGGATTTTTTTTTTTTACAACAGGAATCTCAAAATGTCTGTCCTCCAACTCAGAAATAAAATAGAAAAGTTTGGCTGACTTCATGAGCACAATACTGTTTTGCCCATTACAGTTCTAAATTCATGTATTTCTACGAATATTAAATGTGGCCATTTACCTTCAGATTGCTTGGCTCTAGTCTACCTATTTAATTAGCCTGGTGCTGGGCTTTCTATCTTCTCCTCACTTTTAGACTATTATAATATACAAACTCTACGGATTTTTTTTCTATGTTCCAACTGTTGCATTTTTAAAAAAATCTTCTTCTTCCCCTAGCTCATTTTCTTAAAATTATAGTGGTAATGAAATAACTGGATGATGGCCACTGGACTCAATAACTTCTTGTTTTGGATGAGCCACGTTGGTTTAGTGGTTAAGGCACCAGCCTAGTAAGCGGGAGGAGACCTTGAGTTCAAGTCCTGCCTTAGCTATGAAAACCAGCTGGGTGGCCTGGGGCCAGCCAATCTCTCTCAGCCCAACCTACCTCACAGGGTTATTGTTGTGGAGAAAATAGGAGGGGAAAGGTGTGTTGAATACATTTGCTGCCTTGAGTTAAATGTAAAAAATAATAAAGGTGTGATAAAAATAAATAAGAAAAAAAATCTACTAGCAAAAAACTAACTAGCCAATGTTTCCAACACTTCAAATCTACACAAGGTTAAGTTTAAAGCACTTATGTACATACAGTACACAAAATTGTGAATCCGTATCATTGTCTCCTTCAATCCCTTTCAAAGTTGAATGGCTATGCGTGCACGTTTGGCTGAACGGTGAGCCCACTGGGAAAGTAAAGATATATATTCTGTTTTGCTAGCCTGTTGAGAGTAAGCTTCGCATGGCAATAGCACCGTTAATTCCCAGGAGGCATCTGGTGGTTATATCGTTATCCTCCATGCTAATATGTGGCTGAATTTTACTAATGATTCTGCTTCTTCCAATTCTGCTGCATCAGTGGCTTTGCCTGTACTACTTTATACGACTCAGAAATATTGCTGGAAATTTAAGGCCAGATGGTCAGAGAGTTATGTTTATACTAGGATGTAGATCCAAATCACTAGGAAACAGGATGAAAACTTCTCTCTGTGGAGGGAGAGTTTGGCAGCTAGATGCACACTTCATAATAGGATTAGGCTAAATGCTTTTAATGTTATTCCCTCATTGCCCAAATGCATGTATATTTACCTTTCTTTGTTTCTTGAGAACACAAGAGAAGGTTCATGCTTAAATTTTCATTTAGTATACTAAAATTTATGCTAATTTTCATTGCTGAGAACTTGATATGGCAGTTTTTTGCTTTGATATGGAAATACTGAAGCTACTTTACAGTAATAAATACCATGTATTATGCTTAATGCAGCCAGGCAAAATTTACGAATGCACAGTAAGTGAAATTTCAGGAAAAGGAGGAATGTGAAAGATCACATGTATGTTATTCAGCCCCTCCCAAAGCTTTCTCAGTTACATATTTAAAGATACATGTCAGTCCTTTAGGTTATCCCAAAGGTACTTTTTCAAGGGGCAACTGGACTTTCTGGTTTTTCTTTGAAGGCGTTTTGCTTCTCATCCAAGAAGCTTCTTCAGCTCGGATGGTGTGGAATGGAAGGATTTATACTCCTTGCAGACAGCTGGTCATTTGCATTCTTTTAGAGGGTCATTGAGGCCACCTGCAGATTTATCTGTATCATCAGGGTCACCTGAGTGGTGCAAATTGGTGTGGAGCTGTCTTGGAACTGTTGAAAGGACTGTGTTGCTAAAAGAATCCAAATGTCCAGTTGTCTGAAAGGAGTATAAATACTTACATTCTCTACCATCCAGTCAGAGCTGAAGAAGCTTCTTGGATGAGAAGCGAAATGTCTTCAAAGAAAAACCAGAAAGTCCATTTGCCTCTTGAAAAAGCACCTTTGGGACAACCATGACCTGGATGACTGAGAATCTCCATAGATGTCCTTTAGGTTAATCTCAGACCCTAAAAGACCTTAATGTTTTTGCTTAATGAATTTAAGAAACACTTATTGGGGCTCTGAGATCCTGAAAGAAGTAAACAGCTACTTCAAAGTATTATGGAGAGATGCTACATTTGTGCCCCAAAGCAGTTTTTGGAGATTTGGTGTGAAGCACTGCACTGCCAACTATTTATACCTTTCTTTATGATGGTAAGATTTCAAGTACTTACTCATTTTTTTCAACATCGACAATAAAGTTTCTTCCTTCAGCTGTTATCCTGAGTTCTGCTCTCGATGGATGCTACATAGAATATAAAAATTAACAGTTACCAATACATAGCCATACAGTGAAGCTTTGTGGATACATGCACTCATTCCTTTGCTATCTAGGTAAACATTTGAGTTTTCAGGATTCAAATTTCAGAGCAAGCCAACTTCAAATTATAGCTTCATACTCTCCCTTACTTTTGTTGATGTAGGTTTCTTGATTAGTTGATACTATACTTCAAATCCATTAATCTACACTGTACTTGCAAATGGTACATTGAATGATAATAAAAAGAGAGGAAAAATAGTGAGAAGCTGATTTTTGGAGACAACACTGATGAATATTGAAATAACTCCTGCATTCCAGCTCAATTGTACTGAATGCACGCCTTCACAACCAGGCTAGTTGCAGCAAGACAGTTTCTTACTAAATGTAATGAAAACCTTCCTAACTTTACAAACATTTGGGCAGTGGAAACCAGAGAGGTGGAAATTCTTCTTCATCAGATGTGTTCAAGCACAAACTTGATATTACCTGTTGAAGATGTTTCAATCTGGATTGTTCTGAGTAGAGAGTAAGACATGATAATCTAAGCGGCCCCCTTCAATGTTATGATTGTGCATGTGTACCAATCTACCTCTGTACAATGCTTTCTGGTTAATACCAGATTAATGAATCAGTGGCTTCTGGAAAAAGAGGCCAAACCAAATGCCCTCGTACCACAAAGAGCCTCTTGAAATATCACCGAGTATTTTCAACCACTTTTATTATAATCTTTCCCTTGACATACCACTCAGTATCTTCAAGAGCCCATTAAAACACCTTAGTTTCAGTTGTTGCCATTTGAAGAATTTCCTTTTCTCTAATTGCCACCAACATTTCTGCAGATACTTAATTTAAAAACTAATTTAAATTAATTTAAATGCTTAATTTAATTTTAATTTTAAATTAATTTTTTACTTAATTTAAAAACTAATTTAAAATTATATTGCCAGAAAAAAAAGGTGGCTTTTTCTAATCTTGCCCAAAAATGATTCTTTCTTCCCTGCTGTCTTATCTAATGCTCAAGTGGTATAATGATATTTTAAACAATCTCAGTACATGGACACGCAACATTTATTTGTTTGTTTGTTTGTTTGTTTGTTTATTTATTTATTTATTTATTTATTATATTTCTATACCGCCTTTCTCCCGTAGGACTCAAGGCGGTGTACAGTCAAGAAAAATATAGACACACAAACATCATAAAATTGCTAATTAAAATTATTACTTAGTTTGGTCAATTAAATAAAACCCAGAATTAGATAACATTTAAAAAATCATTTAAAAAAATGATTAAAAAATCATGACCAGTTATATAGAAAAAACATGGCTTAAAAGGAAATTAATGTAGACACATGTTGTGACAGTTACTGGAAGCAGGTTCTGAATAAGAAGGTAACACTTCTTGCTACATCTGTGAGGAAGTTGGCCAATTAGAATGAACTTTTGTGTGACTGTTAACTATGAGCTGAGGAACCAAATATAGGCATTGCAACAAACATGAACAAAATAACAAGCCATTGTCTCCTTCCCCTGCATATCCTTGCCAGCATATGTATTAGATATAATGAATTAAAACTGTCAATGAACAGAAAGGAAAATGGCAATTTGGGCTCCTGAAACCCAAATTATATTATTAAATAATTGCTCTCATCTTCATAGTTTTGCATAACCATCTGTCCCCTGTAGTCTCAGTAGGACATTCTACTTAGTAGGACATTGCAGCTTCTGTACAGTATTTGTATTCTATATTCTCTTTTCTTCCCTGATATCTGTGACAGGATACTGGGAACATAGTCTATCTAGGTCAGGGATGGGGAACCATGGCCCTTTTATGACTTGTGGCTGGCTCAGGAATTCTGGGAGTTGAAGTCCACAAGTCATAAAAGGGCCATGGTTCCCCACCCCTGATCTAGGTGAATAGATTTGTGTTTTCTAACCATCATATATTAGGTCCTGTTTTCTCTTTGTAATATTAAACATGAAGCCTAAATGCAGTTCCCCAACTCATTTTTCACAATCTATAGAGGTTAGCTACCCCCAAGACCACACCGATAAAAATTGAGAGCAAATCACTTGTTTTCCATAGCATAATTTTTGTGGTTTTCATTAAAATTAAAAGCTAAATAGATTATTAATCCACAGACTTTAACATACATATTTTACTTTTAAGCTTTCATCCTCAAAAATCACCTAAAAACCTGACCCTATCCTCTCAGATGACATCACCATACTTCCTGTGGTCAAACATAGATTTAGATACAACGCACAAATATAAATCCCCTAGGTACGACAGCTGCCTAAATATAATTACAGATTCATTCATTCCCTAAATGTTAAAATGCTGAGCACACAAACAATAATATAAAGAAAATATACTGTACTCTAGGTAGAGTCCAAGCATAATTTTTATGACTTGGCACAATATTAAAGGATGCTGACTCCATCCATCCATCCATCCATCCATCCATCCATCCATCCATCCATCCATCATTTGTTTATTTTTTATTTGTTAGATTTATATCTTTGTCTTTTCTCCAGGAATTTCAGATGGTAATCTTCTTTCTATTTCACAACTACAACCATGTGAGGCGGGTTGGGCTAAGTGAGTTGACTCGAAGGCTCCAAGAGTGGATGGATTCCTTGATTGAGGGTGGACAACTGCCCAGTCCTAGTCCAACCCCTAAATCTTAGATCACTAAGTCCTGCTAGCGCTCTGTGATGCCATCTTATATATACAATTTCATTAATTATGAAAGAAAATGTCTATTTTAATTTTAAAGTTCTGTTCCCTACATTCCTCAAATTATTACAATGAGCTTTCCAGTCACAATCCTTTCCATCTACAAAGCCTTTAGATTTTTTGTTTTGTCTTTGGATAAACCAGAATATTGGTTAGTAATTGGGTAATATTAGTTGGTATTTGGATAAACTAGAACAGGGGTCTGCAACCTTAAACACTCAAAGAGCCATTTGGACCCGTTTCCCACAGAAAAGAAAACACCAGGAGCCACAAAACCTTTCCCGTGCCTGACTATTTCTTGAGCGGCCACAAAACTAGCATATGTAGTTGAATTAAATGTTCTGTTTTCTTCTGAAACTTTTCTTTTCTTGGATTTATCCATGGTTGGCCTACCAGGGGTTTGAAAAGCTCAATAAATCATGTGCCGGCGGGTGTTGCACATTGGCAGTTGTGACGCATATTTTGAGTGACAGGGAGCCGCAGCAGAGGGGTGAAAGAACCACATGCTGCTCCAGAGCTGCAGGTTGCTGATTCCTGAACTAGAATATTGGTTGATAATTTTAATTTCTCTCTGTTCTTTTTATTTAACCTCCATCTTTTTGGGGATGTTTGGTTCATTTTCATTAATATTGTGCCAATATCAAACACTTCCAATCCCTTGGAAGTACCTCTACACTTATAAATGATGCTTAAGTGTTCTACTTCATTTTTAAGGATATTTATGCCTGTGAGGTTGTTGCTGCTCTTCTTTCCCTAGTTATGATCTTTACATTTTTCAACTGCAGATTGTCTCAATTCATGGTTCCCAAGATGCCAAAGGTCCATAGAAGTTGTTCCTTCTCTTCGGATTTAACTGAAGCAAGGGAATATAAATCAGTACAAAGGTCACCCCAGAATGAAAGACAGGACATTCACAATGCCTTTCACTCCTCAAATTAATGCCATGGAAGAACTCTTTGTTTTACCCACCAGGACTTTTTCCTCTTAGAATTTTTCAGTTTACATTCAGTCAAATTCATGGACAATGCTAAAAATATGATCAAGTTGAAGAAGAAGATCCTGACTCCTGAGGACATGGACAGGATCCTGGGGAGGTTAAACGCAACCACATGTTTATTGGACCCGTGCCCCTCCTGGCTGGTACTGGCCACCCGGGAGGTAACACGAGGCTGGCTCCAGAGGATTATAAATGCTTCTCTGAGAGAGGGTTTCTTGCCTCCCGCCTTGAAAGAGGCGGTGGTGAGGCCCCTCCTCAAGAAGCCTTCTCTGGACCCAGCCGTTTTGGCAAACTACCGTCCGGTCTCCAACCTTCGCTTAGTTGCGAAGGTTGTGGAGAGTGTGGTTGCACGACAGCTCCCACAGTTCCTGGATGAAACCGTCTATCTAGATCCGTGCCAGTCCGGCTTCAGGCCTGGGTACAGCACGGAGACGGCATTGGTCGCATTGGTGGATGAGCTCTGGAGGGCTCAGGACAGGGGTTGTTCCTCTGTTCTGGTCCTGTTAGACCTCTCAGCGGCTTTTGATACCATCGACCATGGGATCATGCTGCGCCAGCTGGAGGGACTGGGGGTGGGAGGCACCGTGCTGCGGTGATTCTCCTCCTATCTCTCTGACCGGTCGCAGTCTGTGTTGGCAGGGGGGCAGAGGTCGACCTCGAGGCGCCTTGCTTGCGGGGTGCCACAAGGGTCGGTCCTCTCGCCGCACCTGTTCAACATTTATGTGAAGCCGCTGGGTGAGATCATCCGTGGTTTTGGGGTGTGATGCCATCTGTACGCTGATGACACTCAGCTGTACATTTCCACCCCAGACCACCCCAATGATGCCCTCGAAGTGATGTCCCAGTGTCTGGAGGCCGTGCGGGTCTGGATGGGGAAGAACAGGCTTCGGCTCAACCCTTCCAAGACCGAGTGGCTGTGGATGCCAGCGTCCCGGTATAGCCAGCTGGTGCCATCGCTGGCTATTGGGGGCGAGTCACTGACCCCCACAGAGGGGGCTCGCAACTTGGGCATCCTCCTGGACACACGGCTGTCTTTAGAAGAGCATATGACGGCCGTGGCCAGGGGGGCTTTTTATCAGGTTCGCCTGATACGCCAGTTGCGCCCCTTTCTGGATCGGGACTCACTCATGCCTTGGTTACGTCATGCCAGGACTACTGTAACGCTCTCTACATGGGGCTCCCGCTGAGGAGCACCCGGAGGCTCCAGCTGGTGCAGAATGTGGCCGCGCGGGTGATTATGGGAGCGACGTGGCGCTCCCACGTAACACCTCTCCTGCGTGAGCTGCATTGGCTCCCGGTGGTCTTCCGGGTGCGCTTTAAGGTGTTGGTTCTCATCTTTAAAGCGCTCCATGGCTTAGGGCCAGGGTATTTGCGAGACCGCCTGCTGCTACCGATAACCTCCCACCGGCCAATACGCTCTCACAGAGAGGGCCTCCTGGGGTGCCATCGGTCAGGCAATGTTGGCTGGCGGCCCCCAGGGGGCAAGCCTTCTCTGTGGGGGCACCCGCCCTGTGGAATGAGCTGCCTCCTGGAATACGATTGATCCCGGACCTCCGGACCTTCCGTAAAGCCCTGAAGACGTTTTTATTTCATCAAGCCGGCCTAGCCTAAATGGTTTTTAATTGGGATTTTAAATTTTATGGATTTGGGGTTTTAAATTGGGTAGCCAGTGATTTAATTCTTTTAATTATCTTAACTTTTGCATTTGTATGTTTTTTAATTTTGGCTGTTCACCGCCCTGAGTCCCTTCTGGGAGAAGGGCGGTATACAAATTAAATAAATAAATAAATAAGATAGTAAAAGTTGAGTCTGCAAATTAGAGGCACTGGCTCCCACTCTCCATTGGATAAATTCAGCGTAACTTTTTTTCCCCCTTTAAGTTAACCAGGCCTGCACAGATATCCAGCTTACACCAAGGATAAAGAGGTGGACAGAGTTCCCAGCTTGACAGTTCTCTATGCAATGCCTTTGTTAGGCAATCTATGTAACGACACTAAACTCAAGAAAAACAAAAACAGAATAACAATACTCTTTCCTGCATGAGGCACAAGGCTACCACATCCTCCCCATCCTTTACTCTGCAAGATTTGGTTACAAATGAAGGATGTTTGAAGCAAAGCATACTGCCACATGCACAGAAAAGGAAATAACATTCTGCTTGTGTTCACTGTAATTCGGCTGGTGCTACCATACAGTCAGAACAGCAAAGGCCGACAACTGAATGATCTCACATCATCCTGCTCCCTGAACTGGGTTTTGTTTTTCTGTAGCAAATAACTGGGTAGGGACTAAAAGAATTCTCAACATTGGCCCAAGGCCTGGAGCAAAAGAAAATGAAGACAGGCTGAATCCAATCAGTATTACTAATTCATACTATTGGAGTCTTGTATCCAACACCAGTTCCTTAAGCAAGAGCCAACATGTATCACTGTGTACAGTCTGGGCCATCGTTTTACCAAAGAGATGAGATACAAAAAAGTGACGTTGGATGCACAAATATACAAAGAGATTTACAAAGTAAAGCAATAAATACATAATAATTGGAGAAAGCAATATGATCAATTAAACTGCATAGGCATACATTTTATGTTTTCAGGGTTTCTTTAATGGTCTTGAACTAAGCATAAGAAACAATGTCCCCACTGGACCCAAATCTGAATCTACCAATGCAGGCAGTCCTCAACGTACAACACTATTGGGACTAGACTACACTAAGTGAAACATTTGTTAAGTGAGTTTTGCCCCATTTTACGACCTTTTCTGTCACAGTTGCTAAGTGAATCACTGCAGTTAAATTAGTAACAGGTTTTTAAGTGAATCTGGTTTCCCCATTGACTTTGCTTGTCCCGAGGTCAGAGAAGCTGATCACGTGACCCCTAAGGCACTGCAACCATCATAAATATGAGTCAGTTGCCAAGCATCAGAATTTTGATGACGTGACCATGGATAGGGATGCTGCAATGGTCGCAAGTATGAAAAACGGTCGTAAGTCACTTTTTTCAGTGCCATTGTAACTTTGAATGGCTACTAAATGAACTGTTGTAAGTCAAGGATTACTTATAACAATTACAAATAAATGTAATTTATTTGTGTCTTTATCATCAATGTCTTGTTTTACCTTTCTTAAACAGAATTTAATATATATAATGTCAGACTTGCCTGAAGAACATTTAAAATAATAATACCCTTCAAAATACCAATATTGTGATGTATATCAGCTATATACCTACATAAAGTCTCATACCTTTTTAGTGTTCTTGCATGAGATTTTAGCAATTTAAAGGCAATTTTAGCTTTTTGTGGCAGTTTGGGCAATTCAGAGGCAATCCATCTAACACTGTGGTAACATATTGCACATTTCCCCTTTTATCCACAATGAAAATGATTCACAAGATGAAGCGTGTATATGAATTATAGTCTTTTAAGTGCCAAAGACTGATAATTTCATTTTTCTATTCAGAACCTTTACCATACTATGAAATGACCTCCACATCGGAAGCTCCACTACTATTAAAACTAATACAATACTCTGAGCTAAGCATTTTCACAAATTATTCCAGGTAAAGCAAGAGGAAGCAACAAGAGGAACAAAGCAGAAAGTTATGCAAGACATTTATTAACAAACAAAAGGCTTCCCAGTTTTAAAAAGTATTTTCATTTGCACAATAGCAGTTATGCGTATTTGCTAGAAGTACCTCGTAAATATAGAAAAACAAGTATAACCAGTTGGTTTCAGTAAAGGTACAGGTGATCCTTGACTTATGACCACAATTGAGCCCAATATTTCTGTTGCTAAGCAAGACAGTTGTTAAGTGAGTTTTGCCCCATTTCCTTGCCATAGTTGTTAAGTAAATCACTGCAGTTGTTAAGTTAGTAATATGGTTGTTAAGTGAATCTGTGTTTCCTATTGACTTTGCTTATCAAAGGGTCACAAAAGGTGATCACATGACCCCAGGACTCTGCATCTGTTATAAATAATGCCAGTTGCCAGACCTCCAAATTTTGATCACATGATCACTGGCATGCTACAATAGTTCTAAGTGTCAGAAATGGTCATAGGTCACTTTTTTCAGCGCTGTTATAACTTTGAACAATCACTAAACGAATGGTTGTAAGTTGAAGACCAGCCTGTATTACCACCTATTGTTGTGGGGAAAATAGGACGAACGTGTGTTGGATGTGTTAACTGCCTTATTTGTAAAAAAATAATAATAAAGATGGGATACAAATGAATAAATAAATAAAATAAATGTATGTAAGTATATGCCAGGTTTATTTACACCTTGGATTTTTATTTTTAAATAGAACTGCCATTTATTTTAATGGTTTCTCGGCAGGTTTGAGTTAAATTTGTCAGCATGTTGATTGCTTATGAGGGGATCAAGTTTGTGTGACTGGACTTAAAATTGTTGTACAAGAGTATCTTTACAGTTGGAAAAAAATTGATATGCATTTTCTTCCCTTTCTCTTATTTTCACTGCTTTGTTTCTTTGCTTTTTTTCCTTTTGATCTTCTCATCAGTCAGACTTCTGGCAACTACACAGACAAGCCCGGGGAGGGGGTTTTGATAACATTTTTGGAAGTGGTTTTGTTGTGGTCTGTCAGCCGCCAGCTCCTCCAACAGCCGAATCAGATGAGGAGGAGATGTGGGAGTCAAGGTCAGCATCAAGGCAACCTGAGAACTCTGAGGGGGGAAGAAGGAATGGAGCTGTCAGAGAGAGAGAGACAGAGGTGGAGCCTGGGCCGTCCGATGAGGAAGAGGAGGAACAGCTGGGTCCAGTGCCTGACACACGGATGCGCAGAAGGCAGAGAGGAGAGGAGAATAGTGGAAATCTGTGGGTCAATCCTTGGGACAGAAGAGCCACCGCTTCTAGTGAAGCCCCACCCTAGCTCTAGGGATAAAAGGCAGGGGGCAGGGATGAATAGATATGGCAGACAACTATTCACCTCCCTGCTGGACAGACTTGTTAGCCTGCTGTGTGAGAGAAACTTTTTGCCAAGGCTGCTGGCGCTCATAATAAAGGAATCATTGCTTCAACTACAGAGGGTTTGTCGTGTTTGGGGAGCTGGGTCAGAACAGGTTTGCCCTTACCTTCTGCCTAGGAGTGAAGGGGAGGGACTGTCCTGAGGATACCCAGCAGGTTTCCTACTCTTACTCCAATATGTTAACCACTAGTCTCTTTTCACTGATAATCTGTGCAATATTTTGCTAAATTTCAGAAACTAAGCCCAGCAACTGGAGAATGACAATGAATGATTAACTGTTTAAAGTCAGTTAGCTCCTTTGGGGAAGCTCTGCAGGCTGGTGCTTTTCTTAGCTTAACAAGAAGAAAAGCGGATCAGCCCTTTTGAGATATATTTCCTGTTCCTCCACATCATTAGCAAAGGATTTAGGTTCAATCTCATCTAGAAAAGCCCTGCTTTGATTCAGACAATTTCTGAACTTTTCCAATTCAACTCACTTTGGATTCAACCGAATCTGATATATGCTTCTGGGAGAAGCAGCAGGGACATCCCTTGGAAAGGGTCCTGCATTACCAAGCTCTCTTTTTCTTTATATATATGTCACATGCACAAGGGATGTAAAAAAAGGAGGGACTTTAATTGAAAATTTTCAGCTATCGTCTTGATTTTTTTTAATCCCTCTCCCCCAGAACAAACCCATGAGAGAGAAAACAAATGCTTAACATTTAGACAGGTTTTTGGCAAAAATCGATTCCTTCTCTTGAAGAGGAAGTTATTAATATCAAAGCATTCAAATCTCAAGAGGGAATACTCATTTTAATTTTAATTCTAATTTTCTTCCCATATATTGCTTCAAAAGGTTACATCTTTTCTCTCTCATACACATGTACACAAACAGATGCAAATCACGTCATTTTGGGTTCTTCACTGCAGCTGCTGAGCAACCAGCCACAGGCAAACTATTCTTGCCATGAGCAGATCATGAATGAGTATCTGGAGGAATCGTCAGAAAACAGAATCTTTGCTAACAATTGTAATTTGGCAACCTACCTTGTCGTTGCCTGAGTTTGCATCCGCTCTCCACTGAGGGATTATAATTTCATGGGGCATCTGGGCACTGACTGTATTCCTCATTCCTGGAGAAATATAAGAAATTGCTCAAAGATCTATTATGAACTTGTAAAAGTCATCAGAGGAAAAAAATCCCATAATTCATTAAGGCAGCAACAACTTTTATCACGCTGGATATTTCTTACTTCCCTTCAGCAGCATCCTTTAGTTTTAGAAAAGACTCATCTAGTGTTTTTCAAATATTCCGTCTTTAATTTAATGGTATCATCATCTTATTTATTAGGATATGCCCTGCAACAGAAATTATGATTGTATTGCATACTTAAAAATATTGGAAAGATAAAATAAACCATGTTAGAAACTCAGAACAGAACAGAATAACCGAGTTGGAAGAGACATTGGAGATTTTCTAATCCAATCCCCTGCTCAGGCAGGAAACCCTATACCATTTCAGGCAAATGGTTGTCCAAACTCTTCTTTAAAACTTCCATGGTTGGAGCATCCAAAACTTCTGGAGGCAAGTCATTCCACTAATTAGCAATAGCAATAGCACATAGACTTATATACCACTTCACAGTGCTTTTACAGCCCTCTCTAAGCAGTTTACAGAGTTAGCATATTGCCCCCAACCATTTGGGTCCTCATTTTACCCACCTTGGAAGGATGGAAGGCTGAGTCAACCTTGAGCCTGGTGAGATTCGAACTGCCAAATTGCAGGCAGTCGGCAGTCAGCAGAAGTAGCCTGCAGTACTACAGTACTGCATTCTAACCACTGCACCACGGTGGCTCTTTGTTTAATTAACAATTGATTAGTTGGTTCTCTCCTTGATTAGTTTCCATCCATTGCTTCTTGTTCTGCCTTCAAGTGCTTTGGAGAATAGGTTGAGCCCCTCTTCTTTATGGCGTCCTCTTAGATATTGGAACACTGCTATCATGGTGGCTGGTCCCAAAGATGCTTTTTTTTCAAAAGGCAACTGAACATTCTTGGTTTTTTTCTTTGAAAACGTTTTGCTTCTCATCCAGGAACCTTCTTCAGTTCTTGGTTGGTTTATTTATTTATTTATTTATTTATTTATTAATCAAATTTCTATACCGCCCTACTCCCGAAGGACTCAGAGTGGTGAACAGCCAAGATAAAATACAGATAATACAAATATTAAAAAATCCCTTAAAATTATTAAATATTTCGGCCGAAACACAGATTAAAACACCCAATTTGTAAAATCACGAATTAAAAAATTTAGAAATTTAAAAGATGGGAGTTAGGCCAGGCCAGCTTGCTGAAATAGAAAAGTTTTGAGAGCACGGCGAAACGTGCGCAGGTCCGGGATCTTCCGTATCTCTGGGGGGAGCTCGTTCCAGATGGTAGGTGCCCCCACAGAGAAGGCTCTCCCCCTGGGGGCCGCCAGTCGACACTGTTTGGCCGACGGCACCCTGAGGAGCCCCTCTCTATGGGAGCGTACTGGTCGGTGAGAGGCTATTGGTAGCAGAAGGCGGTCTCGTAGATACCCCGGTCCGATGCCATGGAGCGCTCTAAAGGTGGTAACCAAAACCTTGAAGCGCACCCGGAAGACCACCGGGAGCCAGTGCAGCTCACGCAGGAGGGGGGTCACACGGGAGCGCCACGTCGCTCCCATAACCACCCGCGCGGCTGCATTCTGGACCAGCTGGAGCCTCCGGGTGCTCCTCAAGGGGAGCCCCATGTAGAGAGCATTGCAGTAGTCCAAGTTCAGTTCCTGGAAGCTTCTTGGATGAGAAGTAAAACATTTTCAAAGAAAAAGCAAGAAATTCCAGTTGCCTTTTGTAAAAGCATCTTTGGGACAACCATGACCTAGATGATAGACAATCTCCATAAACGTTCATGGTGGCCTGATTTAGGAGCAGAACTAAGTTTGTTTGCTTGACTTTCTTCAGCTGCTCCTTCTGGATTTATAACACTAAATCTTTCTGATACTGAGATTAAACTGGAAAAGATTTCTGACCTATTTCTAATTTAATCCCCTACCACTTGTGTTAGGGAGCTCTGTCCCTATGTTCTTGTTTTCCTTCATCGTCATTGGGTCCTGTCACCCCCATTCTGTTAAAATTGATGGCTTTTTGTTTTTTATGGTTTTTATTTAGGTTGGTTTTCTCCCTACCCTTGGAGGAATCAGATTTTTTGGGATCATCCCACCATCCTGTTGACCAATGGCTCGTAGGCTGAATGGATGTTGGTGGTCTTTGGTTATATGTCATTCCTTCCAATCTCTGCTTGTCTGTTAGCTTTGGCTTTACAAGGGGCCTCTCAAAATGCACATGCCAGACTAAGTTTTCTCTTCTTGGAAAAGTAAGTTTCATCTTTTATCTCTTCTCATTCTTTATTCATCCTTCGCATTAACTTGCCCCTTTAGAATATAGAACATACAGCATAGAATCATAGGGCTGGCAGGGATCTCACAGATCATGTAGTCCAGAGGTCTCCAACCTTGGCAACTTTAAGACTTGTGGACTTCAACTCCCAGAATACTTCAGCCAGCTGGCTGAGGTATTCTGGGAGTTGAAGTCCACAAGTCTTAAAGTTGCCAAGGTTGGAGACCCCTGATCTAGTCCAACCCTTGCTCAAGACAGGAGACCTTATACCATCCTGATCAAATGGCTGTCCGGCCTATTCTTGAAAAACTCCAATAATGGAGCACCCACAACTCTGGGAGCAAAATATTCCATTGATTAATTGTTCTCACTGTCAGAAAATTTCTCCTTACTCCTCGATTGGATCTCTCTTTAACAAGCTTGCACCCGTTACTTCCTGTCCTGCCCTCAGGTGCTTCAGAGAAAAAAGTCAATGCCCCTCTTCTCTGTGACAACCACTCAGGTATTGAAAGATAATTATCAGGCGTGAGGTGACAAGGGCGTGAGTGACCGTGTGTAACGAGTCCCGATCCAGAAAGGGACCCAACTGGCGAATCAGGCGAACCTGATAAAAAGTCCTCCTGGCCACGGCAGGATTTGTAGGATCCCTTCCTTCCTCCCCCAGAATTGATTCCCTTACATATTTGACACTTTCTTATCTGATGGGCCCCATGATGGACATGCTGGAAAAGAAACACCTTTGTATGTATAATCATTCCTGTCACTGAGGCTAAAGGAGGAAGTGGCAGAACTCTTCTCCATTTGATTTGGCTGAAAATTTCTCAAGGGAAGAGAGGGAATATGTTTTTAAAAACGACTAAGGAGATCAATGACCAGAGTGAAGTAACAGACAAGCAGCTCTCTCTTCCCCAATCAAGGAGAAAACTAACCCACCTACTGTATGGATTATTCACTTTATTCATTTTTGGAGCATATTTTTCAAAGAACATTGTAAGTACCGTTGGCATTTTAAGACCCTGTGTTGGTTCTTCAAAGAGTACTCATACCTTTCTAATTAACCTAAAATTAAAAACTTCTACACTTAGTCCAACTAGAGGCTGTGATTCTTAATTATAGCTGCTGTTAAGTTATCCCACAGGGTTCTGCTGACACCAGGTTGTGGGTGTTGTTTTGGAAAAAAAATTCAGCAATTCCATTTCTCCTGGGCATACCTGTTGAACATCTTTTCGCAAACAAATGCACTGCTTCTGAATTAAACCTTCTTGGGAGCAGAACAATTACAGTAGCAATAAAAGCAGAACGGGGTGACGAGGAATAACAATTCTGCTCCCCTGTTCAATCTGTTTTAGTCCTGTTATTTATGCACAAATTCTTTTGCAGTTATTTATTATTTATTATTTATTTATTTATTTATTTATTTATTTATTTATTTATTTATTTATTTATTTATTTTGTATGTATGTATGTATGTATGTATGTATGTATGTATGTAATTTATATGCTGCCCTTCTCCCGAAGGGCTCAGGGCAGTTTACAAGGAGACAAAAAAAAATTACATAAACATCAAAGTCCATTTAAAATTAGTTAAAATTAATTAAAATTTAATTAAAATTATTAAAAAACTTAGTTATGAAAACTAAACATGCACCTCATATTTTGTCTTCCCAGAAATGCTTACATATCATATCGGTTCCATTCCCTAGAACCGAGGGCATTTATTTCCCACTAAATACCCCCCCTTTTAAAAAAAAATAATAATAATGGCACCATTTAAGAGAATATAAAGATTATTTTCCAATGCTGAGGATATTTACACTCGTCGTTAAGTTGCTCTACTTGAATAGCCACTCAATTAGCAGCTCTAATTATAATATTAGCCTTGCAGAGAGATGCAAACATTTACCTGTCCATCCCGAAGCCTCAGCTGCAAACTCTCTTAGACAAAGCAAGGTGATGCCAATGCAATAAGCCAAGCCCCCTTCTGCCAACATGGGCATCGTTTTTCCAATGATCTGGGAAGATCGTCCGCGAGATGAAGACTGACAGCTCCGCCACTCTTATGCCTCCGCGTTTGCAAGGACATTGGGCAGAAGCCCCTTGAATTGGTGCGCCTACTCAAGGCCATTCTTAAAACCCGCCCACGGAAGCCATCCTTCCGCCCATTGGTCAGAATTTCTCCCGGTATCAATGATACGAAGCCATCACAAAAAGATGCAAGCGAGAAAACCGATCCTTCTTCCCCACTTCTGCTGGCCTCCCGTTTTAAAACTGATCAGAACCTGCAGCGAGTATTAACTACTCCAAGTCTCCAAAAGCCTCCAAGCGCGATGGGTTTATACGTGCAATTTTTTTTTACTTCCGTCAGGTTTGCTTTTAAGGAGCCCTTTCGGATTCTAAAATCCGTGACGGGGGCTCTTTCCCCACGCCTGCCCTTATTTTTAAGGTCTAACGTGCAAATCGAGCCGACAGCCCGGCACCCGAGCAGCTCCAACCTTGGAAATAAAAGCACCGCGCGCGCCTCCGCCAAGCTCCCGAAGGGGACCGCATTGCGAGTCTACATGCGCAGTAACCGGAATGGCGCTTTCGGTGCGCCCTCTGGTGGCGAGTCTACATCCTGCTGGTTTCCAGAAGCCGGTGCTGGAGGTGGAACGTTGCCCACAGTAACATTTCTCTCCATGACATCGTTTTTATGGATGTCAATGGTGTGGGGGAACCCAAACTTTTGGCATGAAAAGCACCACAGTCCAAATCAGTTTCTGAACTTCAGCAACTTTAAGATGTGTGAACTTCAAGTCCCAGAATTCTCCAGCGCTAAGGTTAAATGAAGGTTTAAAAAAATGCTATAAACCAGGGGTCCACAACCTTCGGTCCCTGGACCGGCACCAGTCCGTGGTATGTCAGCAACCAGTCCGCACAAACAAGCAAAGCCCCATGTGCAGGATGCAGGCAGGATGCGAAACCACACCCTCTCTGGTTTGCAGAAAAAGCTCTCTCTATGGAACCGTGGCCAAAAGGTTGGGAGCCACTGGTTTAAACCATAAATATCAAGGTAGCAGTTTGTGGGCCAAGTACCTTTCATCCTATAGTCATGCATTTGATTTCCTTTTTATGAGTGACCGAATTCCCCACTAACTAAAGGACCTATTTAAAAGTCAAGACTAGTGCCAGCAGCAGACACTTGTGGCAGCCAAAATTGATAAGAAGGCAAAAAGAATGACTTTAGCATATGTAAAAAAAAAAAGGTCAGCCTTTATAGCAGTGCTCCCTTTGCCATCTTATCACTGTCAATCCCCCCTCACCCTCGGCAGACACTGTTGTCTTGAGAAAGGCCTTGTGAGAGTGCCTAGTCCAGTGCTGTTCAGAAAGTTGTTACAAACTGGGAAAGAAAAGCAAGTTCTGGCAGCTGTGGTTGCTGGTTTACATATGAAACCCACTGACCACTGGAATTAGCTCCAGTAAATCCAGAGAATAAGAAATGGTGAATTCATCTGAAGGATTCGGTTTTTATTCTGAACATCAGGATCTTTCTCAGTGTCCTGAACTTATTATTTTGTGGACGATCAGTGTTGTATTTCTGGCATCTGCCATTGTGGGCTGAAGCCAACAAAAGCTATACAGTACTATAATAAATCTTTTGGGTTTTCATAAAACAAGTCCTGTAGAAAGCTGAATACTGTATTTGGTGGGTTTAATGGAAAATATTATCCAGAAGATAATGAGTCAAATATTATGTCTCCAATGATTTCCTTTGATTCATGATGAATCAAGGATGTATGTATGCTGCAAGCAATTTTCTTAACTAAGCAAATTGCAACTATAGTTTGCTATATTTTCCATTACTCCGTCTTCTGGGTCCTGGTTTGCTACTGGTTGACTGGCTGCGCATGTGTGCTGCGCGGACATGTGCAATTCACACCAAACGTGCACTGTGCACACATACACAATATACACCAAAAGGAGGCTTGGGAAGGTAAGTAGAACAGCTTTGTGGGGGGGGGGAATCAGCTGTGGCACGTGATCTTGGGAACCGTTTTAAAAAACTTTTTAAAAGCATTTTAAAATTCACTGGTTCTGGTGAATAGGTAGTAAAAAAATGCTTTAAAAAAGTAAAAAAAGGCTCGATCACAGCTGTGCCACATGGTCGTCTGAGGCTTTTTTTTTTTACTCTTTTAAAGCATTTTTTACTACTTATTCATCTGAACCAGTAGTAAAAAAATGCGTGAAAAGTAAAAAAAAAAAAGTTCCGATGATCGCGCGGCACAGCTGTGATCATCCGAGCCTTTTTTTTTTTTACTTTTTTAAAGCATTTTTTTACTACCAATTCATCATAAAAGTTTGTCGGAACTTTTTTTTTACATTTTTTTACTACCGGTTTGGGCAAACCGGACCGAACCAGTATCATTTCACCCCTGGTCCTGGACAATTTTCTTTCATATTTAATGATGGCTCCAAGCATGTAGCAAGCCATCTGCAGAGGAAGACAATGTCTCATATACTGTAGGTAATTTTTCTAGTTTATTGTTTGGTAAAAGAGAAAAACAGCACTACCATAGTATGGAATCTCTAGAAAAATATTGGTGTGGTTCTATGAGAGATAGAAACAGACCCTTAACTTGGAGTACTGCCCCGCCTGAAAACCATTATGTATCCACTATTAGGCCCCTTGCAATTTGCCTATCAAGCAAATAGATCGGCAGATGATACTGTTAATATGGCACTAAACTACATCTTACAACATCTTGAATCTCCAAGGACCTATGCAAGGATCCTTTTTGTAGATGTTAGCTTGGCATTCAATACCATATTTCCAGATATTCTTGTCACTAAACTGACTCACAATTGTGCCTGACCACAACTGTAAGTAGATCATAAGCTTAGGAAGCATCAGGTGAAGCCAAACAAAATCACATCAGATACCTGTACAATTAGCAGGTATCCCAGAGTTGTGTGCTCTCTCCACTACTATTTTCTATCTATACTAATGATTGTATCTCAAAGGATCCCTCTGTTAAAGTACTGATGTTTGCAGATGATACAACAGTGATTGGTCTCATTTGAGATGACGAATCTGCATACAGATGGGAAATTGATCAGCTGGCGTGGTGCAGCTGGAAGTCTTGAACTGAACACACTCAAAACTGTAGAAATGATAGATTTTTAGGAGAAGCCCTCCTATTTTACCACCTCTTACAATACTAAACAACACAGTATCAACAGTAGAGATCTTCAAGTTTCTAGGTACTATAATATCTCAAGACTTAAAATGGACACCTAACATCAAAAATGTCATCAAAAAAGCACAACAAAGAATGTTCTTTCTGAGCCAATTCAGAAAACTCAGAAAGCTGCTGATATAGCTACAAAGGAATTATTAACTCTGTCATTTGCACTTCTATAACTGTCTGGTTTGGCACAGCAACCAAACAAGACAGACATAGACTTCAATGGATAGTTAGGACTGCAGAAAAAACAATTGCAACCAGCCTGCCTTCCATTGAGGATCTGTATATCACACAAGCTAGAAAGAGGGCTGTGAAAGTATCAACTGACCAACACATCCTGGTCCTAAACTGTTTCAACTTCCCTCAAGACAACGTTATGGGGCATTGCATGCCAAAACAACTAGATACAAGGACATTCCCCCCATCCCCATGTACCATCATTTTGCTAAACAACTAATTCTCACAATACTGTCTTAAGCCCTGGAATGTCAAACTACCTAGTAGGGCTATATTACTATTATCCTTCTCATCTTTCCTATAACCTATTTCCTTAGCGTCTTATGACAATAACTTTGCTGTTTGTATCTTATGATTTATGTGGATTGTTATTTAGTATCCTATTATGATTTATATTGATTGCTTATTTAGTATCCTATGACCATCACTGAGTGCTGTATCTTATGATTTATGATTATGATCATAATTTATCACTTGTTGCTTGTATGTATACTGAAAGATTATGCACCGGAGACAAATTCCTTGTGCGTCCAATCAATTTGGCCAATAAAGAATTCTATTCTATTCTTAAATTGGAGTCTGCCAATTTAGCAGTTTAAGCAGTTATCTTAAAATCTTCAGAATACCAAGCAAGCATAGCCAAAATATTGAAGAAAGATTAGTCTAAGCAGTAGCAGCTGCTATAGGGCAGATAAAATATTTGAATTGAGTTCAGGTTTTGATGACTTATGGATACTTCTATGTCTTTTTTGGTGGCTAGGGGCAACAATACCATACTCTGATATTTTTGTTTTCCAATTTAGCTTACTGTTTCTTGATGGTTACCTATCCAATTTAACCAGATCTGATGCTAGTTAACATTTCAAGATCAGTCTGATCAGCTAAGTACAAGGTTATGGATGCAAATGGCCTGGAAGTACAAAAAATCCATGAGTATAAACTTATTTCATTACGGGGAGCAGTTGGACTAATAGAAAGCAATCAATAATCACCCCCTCACCCACAGAAGCAGACTACATACCTGCAGATAAAATTAACCTGGATGCATAAATTAGTCCCGCAATTATGCATGAGGACAATAAAAGTTGCATTCTGATTTCGAAATCAGAGAAAATTACTGTGCATATAAAGCACATTGGTGCCAATTACTATTCTGGATGAAATACACAGCTGAATGGGACCGAGGAGCTGATTACTACCCCACATTAAAGATAGTAACAGACATACTTACAAGGCACTATGAAGAGACCAATTTAAAGACCTTCATGAAGTGATGACAGTTCGAATTGGTGCAATAACTTTTGAGAATTGTAATGCTATTGTAATTCAACTTCGCATGCGGCCGCCTTTTGCACCTATGAGCCTATTGATCACTCAGGACAACAGAGAGTTAACAGGAGACCTCTGCATCTTTATGTGCTGAAATTATGTACATCACATGCCTCTATGTTACATGCCTACTGTTGATTGAATTCCTGTTCTTGGGTTTTCATAACTTCCTCCATCCGTTCAGTTCTCATTCTATTCTATGAACTGTGCAGACCACATACCTATTTGACTCTATTGCCTGGGCAGAATCAAGCAATGCTCTTCAATACGTTTTTTTTTTTTTAATGTTACTATCACTTTCTCAAACTGGGAGGAGAAAATGCACCATGGCTACAAAATGCTTCCAACAGTCTTGAGAATTCTTTGAAGATTAGAATTCTTTCCTTGGACCAAAAGATAATAACCTCTGCTTTTGAAATCACACCGATGTACTGTGGTTCATTCCTATCTCAGCTTAATCGTCACTATTGTTTTAAGATTTGTAAAAAGTGCAGAACCTTTAGGCAAACCTACCTGTAGACACATAACATTGATGTGTCTTTTTCTTTTTTCATAGGCTTTTATGTGCATATTCTTTCTAGCCAGGTTCCACCTATGTAAGCTAAGTTGTTCTTCAGCCCTAGTCCTGTGAAATCTCATTGATGTCATACAGATTTCTACATTTGTGACCCAGGTAAACCATTCTGAATGTGTCTCAGATGAGTTTTAATGATGGCAAAAGTCCTTGATGGAAGGAATTCCCCTTAATTCACTTCGTCTTATTTCATCAAAACAGTATGAGAATCATATAAGCATACATATAATGCTATATATCTTCCATACAGAATTAATGCCCACTTCCTCTTTTCTCTGTGGATGCCTGCATAAAACAAAACTTATTCTAAAGGGGAATTGCATTACAATTTTGTTTGTGCCTTGTGCCCAATTATACAAGATAAAATGTAATAGGCATATTGTTTTATAAACTGAACTGCCAAACATTTTTGTTTTTAGAGTCAGCAGCCTGAATATTTGTTTGCTTACATTTTTTGTACATATGAAAGAAAATGTGCAAACTTTCCCCCTTATTCTATACAAAAAGCTTGGGTTTTTATTTTAATAAGCAGTTTTTGCTTTGAGCTTTATCCCATATCTGACAAAACCACTGGTCTCCACGATAGAGGAATGTCTCCATGAGGTTAGTCGTTTACTTTCTGATTTCAAAAGTCAGCAATTTATTCTTCATATTGCAGTTTTCCATTCTGTCAGATAAAAAACTACGTAAAAAAAAGAAAATCATAAATTCATATCTTGATTTTTCTTTGCCCTGAAATAGCACTATATTGGGCAAGCAAAAAATTGTAAAAATGGAGTATGCTACAGCCAATGATCTTTCTTATAATGGCATTTTTATCACTGGAAATTTTTAATCGGTGGTTTGTCTTTTTCCTTTTTGTTATCACATAATTATTTCTTCTCTTACCTTCTTTCATAGTCTGGAAAATGTAATTTTTTTAAATGAAATGAAATATGACTCATTTGAGCCAGAATAGTGTGGTTAACTCTTGTATTTGTGAATAATGATGCTGAATTGCAGGATAATCTTTTCTGTATGCTGCCTTGCTGGGAATTATAATCTAACAAATCTAGAGGACTGTAGGTTGGGAAGAATTGGCTTACATGGATTCTTCTACTTTTCTTAGGATGAGCAAGATCTGGCTAGGCCTATGCTTACCTGTCCTTCTTTTAGTGCTGCTATTTATTTTGTGGTATTTACATATTGTAAAGGAAACAAAAAAGAACAATTGTACGCTCTGTGTTAGACAGGATTGCACAGACTTTTTTTTTCCTGGACTGTAGCATATTTGCTCACAAGAATTCTTGAAGACCAACTTTCCCAAAAAAGCATATTTGAAGTATATGTTTAAAATATATCAGGTATTCTAAACAACATCAGTATTATATATTAATGCTGATGCAAAAGTACTATGATCGTTAGCAAAAATTACCAATCAAGTATAGAATTTCCTTTTCATTCTTTACATTTTTTCCTGTCCAATAAAGGCTATTCTCTTTTAATACATATGTTAAGCTAATTCACAATTTAAATGAAATGTCATGAAAAGGATTAACATTTTCAATCAACTTACAATAGTTAGAGCACACCCTTTGTATGATTATCCTTAAAACAAATCCCTCCAAGCAATATTAAAATTGATAACCACATTTGACCTTACCATATACATACAAGCAAAGGTCATAATTCATTGTTTGTCACAATATAGAGAGGTAACAACATACGGTTCATGTGATTTTATTTTAACATAACAAAAATGGAACATCTATACTATCAGCCCCCTTCCCCAAAACAGAAAGAAAAGTGTAGCTATAAAATTGGTTTGTAACATGAACAAATAGCTTAGTAATGTTTCATCTTCTTTACAACTATTTTTGAAGCACTACATTTTAAAATTTATTGTTTGCAATATTGTTGTTACTTATATTCTGGTAGAATCATAACCTGCTTGTATACAACTGAAAGCTAAACTGATTCTTACTTATTCTTAGAATTATATAACTTTTCTATTTATATGGATGTTAAAAAATCAATTGTTCTTGCAGAGGAATAAGTTAAACCATAAGAGGGGCTGCAGACCAGATAATTACATAGCAATTTCAGCATAAATATAGATTAGATTCTGGAACAACTGTAGTTGCTTTTTTAAAAATAACAATTTTCACCACAGGACAGATTTTTAAAATCTGACAACTCTGACTTATGTATAACAAACTGTGTGCACACCATAGGCACAACAGAGAAATAAATACATTTTTTATCTTGATAAAAATTAAAATCTCGCCATGTCACCAAGGAACAGAGACTGAAATAGGAAAATGAAGTTTCCCATCATAAATATATGATTCTATTTAAATTAAGGTCTGTATTTGCTCAACAGCAGATTTTTTAAAAATATGGTAAGTTGTACACAATTATGTTGCTTCTAGCATTGCATAACGCAAGGTATATAGGGCAATGCCCTGATTTCATTAATTATCAAACTTCTTCAGTGCACTTTTTCAAATGGAAAATGTTGACAAATCAAGTTTAGCTGAAAGTAGAATCAATAAGGTACACTATTCACATGGTTTCTGGAAACATTACCCATAACTTTCATCTAAAAGGCACGAGGTAACTAAATGAAAAAGTCTTCACCATCTTAAGAGCTGCCTTGATCAGCAGAGTATGCAAAATTAATATAAAAAGATACAGTACCTGTGATGATACATTGGTTCAGGAACTCTCCCATGTGTCATAAAAACTTTGGAACCATCTAGATTTACTATGCCTTCTAGATAACACTCACTAAAATAGTGTTATATGAGGAACATGTTTTATTTCATGTTTTAAAAAGTATGCTAGATTTGATCTGAAAAATTACAAATCTCTCAACACCTTTCCTTCGTCCTCATCATCACTATCAGTCACGTTGACTTGCTGTACACTAGAAGGGGTGGAAGGGGTGGCTGTAAAAACATTTTCAAGGGCCCCAATGTCCAACTGTGGCATAGGGTTTAAATACTCCTCTTCAGTCTGACTGTGGCTGCTGTAATAGGATGTCCCTTCCAAGCTCTCACAGCTGTGGGAGTCTTCACTATGTGTATGTTCATCGGAATATTCTCTGAAAGGGTAGTCTCTGTTCAGGGCAGAAAACATGGCCTCGTGTTTTTGATACTGGTCTTCATAAAAGCCAAGGCATTCAGGCATGGAGCTGGGGAAATTCCCATAGCCAAAAGGAGGCCGGCTATATGGACATGTGCTACATCAAAACAAAAAACAACAAAAAAAGGTTACTTTGATTGCTTTGTCATAGGACTGATATATTACTACTAACACATGCAGGTAGTTCTCCACTTATGACCATTTGTTTACTGACCGTTCAAAGTTACAATGGCACTGAAAAAAAGAGATACTTATGACCAGTTTTCACATTTATGACACTGCAGCATCCCCGTGGTCATGTGATCAAAATTTAGGCGCTTGGCAACTGGCATGTATTCAGGACAGTTGTATGGTCCTGAGGTCATGTGATCACCATTTGTAACCTTCCCAGCTGGTTTCCAACAAGCAAAGTCACTGGGGGAAGCCAGATTTGCTTAACAGTCACATGATTCATTTAAGAACAGCAGTGATTTGCTTAACAACTGTGGCAAAAATGGTCATAAAATGGGGACAAAACTCATTTAATAATTGCCTTGCTTAGCAATGGAAATTTTGGACTCAACTGTAGTCATAGGTTGAGACTACCTGCATAGCAGGTCTTTATTTAAGCCTTGAGTTAAACTAATAGTAAGGTACATTCTCTTTCAGGCTGAAAACTGCATTTGACTTTTCAATAGAAGGAACAGTTTGCAGCAGGATAAAAAGTTCCTTTTCATTAGGGATTAACATCAGTTCTGTTAATGTAATTTAATATTTAATTTATATGTTAAATTAAAGGTATTATAGATATTCTCTACATATTTTCTAATCACATTTAAATTCACAGTTCTATAACAACTTTTAGAGGAGGTCTATAGCTGCATCTAAGGTTCTTGCTGCAAGGTCTATAGATGCAGAAAGTAGAATATTGACTAGGTAGTCCTACAGTATAGAAATCAATCCAGAGGTAGGACAATTCAGTCACTTACCCCCAACTTTTAATAAAAGCTGATTTAATTAATGAATATATAGTATAGCATTCATCCCAAAATAATAAGATAGTTTAAGGTGACATAAAATAAACAAAACCAATAAACACCCAGCAGCATCCTGAATTTAAATAGAAAGGGTTAAATAAAAATTAAAAGGCAATTAAAAAATTCTATGGTGATGACAAATGCCATATAGTCTGCTTTATTGTTTACATGAAATGTTAACTAGTACAGGCATATATGCATGGATATGTATCTCTATTCTCCTTCAATTCAAGTTCCTGATAATTTGGATGGATGGATGGATGGATGGATGGATAGATAGACTGAATGGTGTGCAAATTGTTTCAAAACTGAAACTGCACTTTTGAAGCATTTTGAACATCTATCATAAACACAGATATATACACATATACAGAAATACAAGGTTTGAATGGGTACAAGATACATGTAATTAGATATCAGAAGCAAATTAAATAGGTGAGGTATTGTGATGATTACATTTAGCAATTTACAGAAAAGTTGCTATTGATCAAATAACTTCCTGGCATTGAGTAAGGGAACTCAACTAGTTCTGGATCTTTATGATTAACAAGAAGATAACCACTGTCTTGTATTCTGCATTTCATTTCCCCCCAACTACTCTATATTGTAACCACCTAAGTTCATCTCTGAAGTCAGTTCAAAACGTTAGGCTTTTATAATGAGCCCTGGTGGCACAGTGTATTGTGCGATAGTGTATAAAACGCATTATTGCAGGCTAATTCTGCCCACAGCCGAGAGATTGATCCTGATGGGGCTCAATATTGTCTCAGCCTTCTATCCTTCCAAGGCTGGTAAAATGAGGATCCAGATTGTTGGGGGCAATATGATGTAAACTGCCCAAAGTGCTGTAAAGCACTGTGGAGCAGCATATACCAGAAAAACAGAGTTGGAAGGGACCTTGGAGGTCTTCTAGTCCAACCCCTGCTTAGTCAGGAAACCCTACACCACTTCAGACAAATGGTTATCCAATCTCTTCTTTAAAACTTCCTGTACCGTAAGACTAACCACTATTGCTATGTTTACCTTCACTGGCGGTTATTTTTGTCTTGAGGCTCATGTCTTATACTGCAAAACCCTAAATACTAACAAGACAGGTGATTGATCCAATAAACAAAAGCACTCTTATACCAAGCCATACAAGCTAAACAGACTTTTGTTTTTAAAAGTCCCCCTTTGCATTTAATATAAATGCAAGTTTTTTTCTCAACAAATTAACAGAATCCGAACAGTCTTGTATAGCCTTGGCAGGGCATACTGATTAGATGGGATACCAGAGGTGAGTTAGACTGGGGAATAAAAAAAAATCCCAGATGGGTAAGTTAATAAAGTTACCAGGAGTCAAGCTTGTCTTGGAATAAATTTTACTTAACATTTCTTCTGACCTATCCTGTCTCAATTTTTAGTAACTGCCAGATTGTGATTGCTATACACAATATGCACTACAGCAGCCCTGAAGTGAAATTATCATTAACATTGATAAGGATATCCTTTTCCAGAATAAGAGCATAGCTGGCTAGCTAGCTAAAATTAGAGTGTTCTGCTCGTTTCTCATTTTCTTAATGGGTACTTTCCATATCACACTGTTCAGTGGACCCTTGTGGAAGGTTAAAAAAGTAGTAGTAGTCTATCAAGGAAAAATTGACTTAAGGGGAGGTTCACATAAATCTAAGGTATATTTTATTCTGTTTTAGTGTGTTGTATAAATTCAGACATTACACGTACAACATGCTTTATGGTTTACTGTCTTGTACTATAGTTACTAGTACTACAGCTTATTGAACAATCTGTGCTTGTACATTTACCATATACTTAGCCAGATGGGTGAGTTCAGCACAGAAGTGATTATATAAGAGAACTAAAAACTCAGCCAGCTTAGTGTCATGGTGAAGTGCTAGTCTAGAACCCAGAAGATTGTGAGTTCTAGCCTCACTTAGGCATGAAAGCCAGCTGGGTGACTGTGGGCCACTCACTCTTTCTCAGCCCAACCCACCTTAGAAGATAGTTGTTGTGACAAAAATGGGAGACAGGAGTATTAGGTATGTTTGTCACCTTGACTGATTGATATATATATCAGGATTCTACCACCACCACCATCATCCAGTCTTCTTTTCAAGGAAGACGGTGGATTCAGGTCAAAAATATATACACGTCCCGATTGTAATGGGTTTATACCTAACTTAGGAAAAATCAAGAGTGCAAATCAGAGACTGAGCCATTGGGGTTTGAGGTCTCTAATCCAAAACTGTTGGGTAGAGCCCCAAACATTCAGATTGTCTCTTGGAAAGATTTGTTTTAATAATTAGATGAGTATGATGATTCTGACTTGTTTTTTCTACTTGGAAGGTCTTGTTTCATGTCTTAAAAAGAGACAATAATGTACTAGATGGGCTTAAAAGATTGGACATGGGAGAAAAATCTTTAAAAGCCTCTATGGTGACTGAAAAATTTGATGAAAATAATTTCAGCAGAATGGAATGCATGGAAGTTTCATATGAAAGGAAACAGAGGGAAAACAGAAGGAAAATTGTCTAATGTTATTGCACTTTTGCTAACAGTAACTGCAAACCTTGGCATAGTGTGTCTAATTACCTATTCCAGAATGCAAGTATGTGGTTGCATTACCTTGATGGGAAATAATGAGGTCCTGGTAAAAAATAAGGATGGTGAAATGAAAATCGAGGAGGAGCTCCAAAGAGAGTTGCTGGATGACCAATGGGAGGAGGCTGATAAACATGTGGATGAGGGATAGGTGGTGCTTGAGGAATGGGTCCATTTCTAGAACATGAAGAAACACCTGAGTATTCCTTGGGGGGTTGGCTATTTGAGACACTGTATCTAGGGTGAGTAGTGCTTGTATTATTTGGGGTCCTGCTTGAGCTTTCAATAGAAATCTGGTTGGGTCTCTTTATAGAGCAATTTGTTCCTGAAGATACACGATGAGCTTCTGTTGGGGAAGGTGCAGCAAATCGTTGAGGCTGAAGGACTGGCCGAATTGGCAGGTTTGCAGTTGAGGCAGCTAATGGTGTTGTGTTTCCTACACTTGGCTGGAACAGTGTAATAGGGCCTGGATGCTGAGCAGAAGGAGCTGGCAGCTGGATAGTAGAAGCGGCTTCACCTTTGGAGAAGGAAAATGATCAGTTTTAACTGAGAAACTCATATTAATAGTATTTTCTTATTTAAAGTTTACTTCATTTAATTTTACTACAAAACATTTGCCAACAAGTAATAATTATGCTATGTGTGAAAATCATTACATATGTTCTGTAAGTAATATGTGCAGGACTATATTATAACCTATGCTTTTGTAAAAATTGTACTATGCAATTATACTTTGACAAAAAAATAAATAAATATTAAAATATAATTCCTTAAATTTGTAAATCTGAAAACTCAAAATTCCTTCTCTTGTTGGAAACTCATTACTATTATCAACAATAAAAGTTTATTGATATATATTAAACAGCATTAAATATAAAATATAAAAAGGCATGGGGGTGGGTGATTTGAAGGAAATCTCTCTCTAAGCACACCTAACCAACAGATCCAGCAGGAAGGCATGTGAAGAGTCCTATCCATGAAGAAATGGCATCTAATAGGACAGAGGAAGAAAGGCTTATCTGCTAAGCACCTACTCTATGGAATATTATTCCTTTTGATGTCAGATTGGCCCCAACAGTACTGGCTATTTAAAAGGGCCCGAAAACATGGCTTTGCCATCTGGCCTGGGAATCTGAAACATGGATATGGAGACTGTATTGCTAGGAAAATTGAGCACACTGTCCTGCAATTATGGGTTTTTGTTTTGTTTTTAAAGATTGGTATTGTTTTAACTTTTTTAAATTATTTTTGTTATGTTTTTGGTTATTTTGTAGTATTGTTTTTATATTTTAAACTTTGTATGCTGTTCAGAGTCATGAACAATTTCTTCATTTGATTTTTATCTCACATTTATTACTGTGTATAAGTAACTCAAGGCAGCAAATGTTCCTAATACTCCTTCCCACTCCTATTTTCCCCTGTGTGGTGAGTTAGACTAAGGGATAGCCCAAGGTCACAAGCCAGCTTTTCTGCCTAAAGTGGAAACTAGAACTCACAGTCTCCTGGTTTCTAGGCCAGCATTTTAACCTCTCACCAATCTGGCTCTCTTTATTTATCAAACAAACAAACAAACAAACAAACAAATACTGTATCTATCATCTTAATATCCAAAGATATTTAGGATATCTTTCAAACTTGTTAATAAAAGTCTATATTTAGGCCTGCATTCCATTGTTTTCTAATACTGTATATGGAATTAGAAATCAAATACGTATCCAAAAGTTAAGACACCAAGTATCCAGTTTCATTTGGTATTATATATACACCAAATATATATAATATATTAAATATTATACATAATATTTATATTTGTGTGAAATAATAATTATTTATAGGAGATTATGTTCCCACATTTGTTCTTATTTTTGTCTGTCAACTCTAGCATGATGAATGCTGCTTCCAAATATAGCTTTATTGTGGATCATCACAATAGTAGTGAAGTTCTTCAGGATGTCAATTTTCTAGCTCTTTTCTTTCTGGAGAAAATTAACTTTTTCAAGAAGGATAGGAAAAAAAATAGTGCTGTGATTTCGATACTGAGGATGATTCAAACAGGTGATCTTAACAGCTCATCTCACATTTTTATAACATCTGCAGTAAATCTTATATTCATCATCTATTTTATACTTTAAATAGGCCTCATTTTAGACTGTATTCTAGTGGGGGTGGGCAATTGTTTTAGCACAGAAGAGCTGAACTTTTGGAGTATGTTTGTGTTTTGAGGAGTTTTATTTTTACACAAGAATAAGTATGTTTAAGTACAAGTACACAATTAGTTTTGAGCCAGTTTCCTTTAAAGGAAGAGGAAATGTCACTTTATTGCTGAATTTTAATAGTACAATTGCAGGTGGGATTTGGGAACAAAAAAGAAAACAAGGCTGACTGAATGTGAATCTTAGTTGGTCTTTTCTTGATTTAAATGATATTTTGTAATTTCAAATAAAAAAATAAAAAATAACCCACCATTTAAAAGAAGTTTTTTTTTGTTTCTTTGAAGTTAATCAATTATAAAAAAATATCTAAATTCTAAAGTGAAAATGACCTATTTTATGATTAGATTCAATGCGTGTATCAGTTACTGCCCATATCAAAATTATATCCTATTAAAACAGGGGTTCCCAACTTGTGGGCCGCGGCCTATTCACAATTGGGCTGTGTGAGTGGCTGGCTGCTGTGTGTGTGGACACACACACAGCTCCACTCACATGAGCAATGTGTGCGCACGCACACATATGCCACTCCTACAAAACCATCCCCCGTTTCCCTCCTCACTCACCCCCCCTCCCCCGCTCTGGGCTGCCAACTTGGAAAGGTTGGGGAACTCTGTATTAAAAGACACAAAAGGCATGGATGGAATATGAAGGATATTATCCATACAAAATACAAAATATACTCCAATAGCATTCTGGCTTAAAATGGAACTACAATATTATATTACTATAGGCCCTACCTAGGAGTAAAATTGACAGATTTTTTTCCAGTTTCCCCTTTCTCTTTAACAAACTGTTGTTTTTTTTTCTTTCTACTTGGGTAGAACAAGAAATAATATTTTTTGTTACTGCAAAACTTGCAGCAGTTTGTGGCCAAAACTACCCCCCCCCTCATTACAGTATTTCTAAACCGGCAGAAGTGAAAATGATTACATATGGCCTTCACATTGCTTCTAAGGATTTATTGAATGAAAACAGTGATGATATGGAAGCATCCCATGATAACTGGCAATGGAATGAAGAGACCATCCTATAGTACATTTTACCAGTCTTCTAAAGCATCTATGAGTATCAAAATCTGTAAGCTAGTGGACATGCATTATGCATGAGTGCATTGATTCATGTCAAAAGAAAATGGACACTGCTTGTTACAATAGATTCATCATTTTGCAAGTTTTGACATATACCTGTACAAACATGGTAGATGCCACTGGTAATATGGGGTCGCGATGGGTCGGACACGACTTCGCAACTAACAACAACAAACAGAAAATCCGCCTCAAGAAGTGGCAACACCCAGTCATGTGATCTACAAAGTTATAAAGGGTTAGTCCTGGTTAATATTTGATTGTAGTCTGGGAGGTATGTTGGATTAGAGAGCTGAAAATTTTATTCTGAGAGAAAGCAATGGCCGACCACTTCCATTTCAAGAAAACTGTGTAGAAGATATGTCCAATTCTGCAAATTAATTTTCACTCTGATAAAAACAATGAACAGTTACATATTGTCCTAATGTAAAGGTTGGTTCAGAGACTGACACAGATTTAAGGAGACAGCTACCTGCAAACTTCTCTTTTATGGAAAGAACTGTGTCCACAACTGTGTACGACAGAACTGTTACAAAAAATGAAGAAACACTCCATCATAATGCATTGGGGCGATACCGTTGCGAATCGGTAGTAAAGGTAAGTGGAACTCACCCCTGGTCGCGATGTCAGACATGACTTCGCAACTAACAACAAATTCCCTTAATTTTAGTATGTCTAATTAAGAAAGATTCTGAGATTCTTATTTGAAAGAATCAGTTTCACTTGAGCCGGCTGTCATAACATGAGACCAGCCATTACAAAAGAAGCACATTTCTGGTTCCATTTATTATAGAAGTGTGAGAAAACAGACCAGAGTGCTGTTGTCAGAAATTACTTATATGTTTCATTTGAAAAGAACGTACTTTGTGGAATTCTTATCTTGGGAGTTCTGGGAAATTTGTTCATTAGATTGTTTAATTCCAGGCTGGTGGCAAAAATTTGATACTATGTAAGTCTCACCATGTGGATTCACTTAAAGGCAATTTTACTTTATAAGAATCAAATTTATAAATTTGAAAAAAATGCTTATAAAAGTATGGTTATATTTTATCAACTTGTTTAACTTGATGAAGACAATAAGTGCAATATTTAGTTGCTAGTTTAAAGATTTCTACAAAACTGTGCTATGAATGTGCTTATAGGAATTTAAATTCTTATTCCAAAGGTGCTTTCAAAAAGGCAACTGGACTTGTTTGATTTTTCTTCAAGACATCTCACCCAAGAAACTTCTTCAGTTCTAATTAAGCGGTGGGGAATGAAAAGGATTTATACTGTTTGCAATCATCCACTATGAGGGTCATTAAACCATCTGGTGGTTAATCTAGGTCCTCAGAGTCACCTGAATCAGAGTGCCAATGAGTGTGGAACTGACTTGGGACTGTTGAAAGAGCTGCATAGTAAACAGATGTGTCCCATCCCTTCCCCACTGTTGAGAGTGGGCTATTCAATTTTAACACAGCTAGCCTCTTTGATTCCTCTTTCAAACCAGTTTAAAGAATTCATATAAACAACGAAAATGAACTTACAGACTGGATGTCCAATGCTGTTCTGTACGTTGGGAATAACCACAGAGTAGGTAGGTGATCGGAAAGGATAAATGGTAGTTGGATTTGTAGTAATAATACTCTGAGAAGTCCCAGTAAACACAGTAGAGGCTGTCATTGGACTCGTAGCTATGATGTTCTGAGTTGTACCCGAGAATACAGTGGAGACAGTCAATGGAAACCTCTTCCTTTTGCCAGGCCTTGGCTGGTAAACCCAACCTGCAGAAATGTTAAAGAGTACGCCAGCTGAAAGATAGAGTTGCTTTTGAAAATTCTTACTTAGTGAAGATATGCATTATTAAGAGTAATATAAACTTCTCTGCTGCTAAGTCAAAAAATCATATTTGCAAAAGAACACACGTATATGTACAATATGAATAGGAATCTTACAATCTCTCAGAGGGAAAGAGAGATACTGTTTCTTTCTATTTGTAATACCTCTCGTTACCATGGATTTTGGTTTGAGTTATATACAAACATGAGAGTCAATTTGGAGTCCTGGCGATTACATGGATAATTTTCTTGGCAACATTTTTCAGAAGTGGTTTGCCTTTGCCTTCTTCTTAGGGCTGAAAAGAAATGACTGCCCCAGTCATCCGGTTGCTTTGTGCAAGATTATTACTCATGCTCAGTATCTTTAATCACTACACCAAATTGGTATTCATGCCATCCATATTATCACCCGATTGTGACATAACTTTACAATCATGACAGAATACCAACTTGTTAAATAAAACATTATTTCTGCTAATACTAAATAGAGTTAATGCCTTTCTTATTCTATTATTCATTATATTTGCTTTAGTATTACAGAATTTAGCATCAGATTATTTTTTAAAATATTTATATAAAATCAGAGCCCTGGAAATTATATTATCTGAATTGTATTTCACTGGGAATAATACAAAGACATGCAATAAGTTTATACATTTAAAACAGGAACATCAGCAGAAATTATCAGCATTAATATAATTGGGTTAATTAATATTAACATATGCCTTTTGTTGAATAAACTATTTTTTCCCAGATGTAATTTCAAATAATTAACAAGGTTTACATAAATCAGTGGAAATGCACATTCACAAACAGATGAGAGAAAAGTTGAGGCTTTCTTTCTTTTATTGTTGCGGACTGCCAGAGCCACAGAGTGTCTGCAAGTTTAATAAATAATTATTTCCAGATCCTAAATATGTCCCACTTGATAAAATGGGAAAACCTTAGTGCTCATACTAATATACAGATGATTGATCTACATGTGTGGTGGCATAATGTCACCATTCATTTGGCTACTTGTATGTCTTTGGGAGAAGATATACGAGTCAGAAAAAAACTAAGGAATTTTCCTCATTATTTAAACATACTAGGTTTTTTTTTAATCTTGCAGGATTCTGTTTCCTGAATGATTATATTTAAACACCATTTTTCCATGCATGAACCTGTGGATTACCTAATGGCAATCAGTTATGAAAAATGTATAAATAATTGCCTCTCTAGTACCAGGAAATTCTTCTCTGTGTTTTTCTTTTATCTTCTGAGCTTCATCATAATAAGGTTTCTTTTGTTCTTCAGTGAGCTTGTTCCATTCCAATCCAAGCTGGACACTGATCTCGGCATTATTAGCAGCAGGATTAGCTTTGGCTAAGGCTGGCCGATGAATTCTTGCCCATACCATAAATGCATTCATAGGACGCTTGACATGGCCATCTCTATCTTTGCTGAACGGAGTGTCTGGTATCCCTACGATAAAGTAATATTAATGTTTAGGTAATATAGGGATGGGTGGAATATACTGCTAATTCTGAGGTATTCTGTGGGCATTGAAGTATGATCCTAACAATTAATAATAAAATGATTTTTCTCTCCCTCAATTGCTGAAAATACTGCTTAATTCTGGCAACAAATGCAAACATTAGGCTCAAACACACCCCAATTCTAAATTCTAATTATTATGATTATTACATATGACTGTAGATTATGAATTTTGGTAATTAGTACAGGGCTATTTTTGGCAAGTATCATATGATCTTATTGTAAAGTGAAATTATAAGATGATATAGGACAGTGTGTAATTTACTTTTCTACTGTATATGGAAGAGGTAGGAGTATGATTCCTCCTGGAGCCTTTATTCATCTTCAGGCTCTGCATTGATATTTTGGAGAATTATGTGCTTTAGACTGGGAACCTCCTCTAAGGAGTTGTTGGAAATAGAAAAGAGGAAAAAAATTGTATAACAAAAAGTCCATTGGATTTTATAACTAGTTCTTTCTCTCACTACATGAAGCATGGTAAATGTTAGTAACTACATAAAGAATGAGCAGGTTCTCTACCAGTTTGGGGCAACTTTGACTTCCACTTTGTCATAGGGCAAACTATATTTGAAACTGAATGAAGTTGTCAGGAACAATTTGCAAGATGACATAGGGATTGGAAATTCACTAGGTGGTTACATTTTTTGAATCTAACTAGACACTGGGGATAAATAACTATATGCTGAGTGATAAAAATAATAAACGAACAAAAGCATGTCTTGCATGAGGTTCCAAGTCTACAATATCCCATGTTTTCCTCTGTAAATTGCTCTTAGAATTTACTAATTACATCATGAACAACAGAAGTTTATCCATTTATCCATGATTTGTCAGAATTAAGTCTCACGGTGTCCACTATATTTAAGAGTGTACCATACATTTCATTCAATGGGGAACTACAGATTTATTTTTTTAATTTATGCAGTCAATTTGCATAGCTGCCCATCTGAACAAGTGACCCTGGATTAAAAAGAGCAGAGATCAGATTAGAGATGAACTTCTCATTTAATTTCTTTCAGTATATTTTATAGCTTTCAGTTTTCCTGTCCATACAATTCCACAATTTAAGCATGGTTATTGATGGGTCCAATAGTCATTTAAATTGTGGAATTGTATGGGCAGGAAAATCGTGAAAGCTATAAAATATACTGAAAGAAATACGATACTAATGTGGCTGTATTTAAGGAACACCTGCAAGTTTCAGTTGATACAAAATGCAGTGGCCCAGGTACCGGTACTTACAAATAGGCACGTCACACCTATTTTGTGTGTCCAGCAGTGGCTTTCTACTTCCCAGATCCAATTTAAAGTGTGAGTTTCAACCTATAAGGCCCTTTAGGACTTGCTGCTGGAATATTTGCAAGACTGCATCTCCCCACTAGAGTCATCTCAACAACTTTGAGCCAGGAGAAAGAGCTGTTTGTCCCCATTTTCAAGAGGGGAAGGGAATTATAGTCCAGAAGCATTAGAGCCGCCCAGAGTCCCTAGGGAGTTGGGCGGCATAGAAATGTGATTAATAAATAATAAATAATTATTTTTCCATGTTGGGATTGGCTCACTGAAATGGTCTCCCATTGGACATTCACTTGTCCCCAACATTAAGTGCCTTCCAGAAAAAGCTGAAAATGGGTTTTTTGGACAGCTTTAAATATTATTTTGGGTTTGTAACATAATTACCAGTATATATTCTTAGTATTTTTATGTTTACTGTTTACTGTTTATTAATTTTTAATTACTGAGCCACCAAGAATTTATGATTGAAGAGAAATATAAATCTGATAAAATGTAAATATTCATGGAGATTACATTTTACATCAAAAAGGCTAAACTGGTTTCCACAAGAATTACATGCATAGCTCCAGCACAGACTACAGTGGGAGTTCTTTAGTCTCATTATAACCTTTTCATAGCATTGCCATTTGATGGTACACTTTGGTGGGTCATCCAGGACACTTATTCCCAATTAAATGTTATGGCTGACCTGCTGCAGAAACTGGCATGAAAATAATTCCCATTTAACAAATGAAAATTACCTTAAGATACTTGGGTTTTAGATTATATCGTATTCTAGTCGTACTGATTTGTAAATGATAGTCATTGTTTAAAAAGGTAAAAGTTTCCCCTATTCAGTCGTGCTTTTGCTCTAATCCAGGCCAACAAAGAGACTCATCCCAACGAAGAGGATAGCAGAATAACAGAGTTAGAAGGGATTTTGGAGGTCTTCTAATCCAACCCTCTGCTCAAGCAGAAGACCCTATACTATTTCAGACAAATGGCTGTCTAATCTCTTCTTAAAAATCTCCAGTGATGGAGCACCCACAACTTCTGGAGGCAAGCTGGTTAATTGTTCTCACTGTCAGGAAATTTCTGTCAGGATGAGAAACAATGTTTAGCAACTCCTTCTCCTGCCTTCTCCCCTCTTTCCCCCTCCGATTGTTATATGACTATTCTGGAGGATGTGCTCAGATCTTTCAAGGGAACTGGGTCTACCACATTCTTCTGCAAATGGTTATCATTTGCAAAGTCTAAGATACATGTCAATAAGACTTAAACTTTTGAGTAGATATTAACAGAATTGAGCTCCAAAATACTTTGTAATACTTAGTCTACAAATAAAGAAGTATATGCAACAGACCACAAATTTACTTCTGCTAGATTCTTGTTTTATCTTAAAATATTCCATATTTGAATGAAAAGATATAAACATTTATTCAGAAGTAAAAATATTCCTAGGTCAATAAGTCTCTAAGACTCTTTAGTGTTTTGTTTCTAAATTGAGTTTACCTGAGACTAAAGCAGCCATGGCTATAAATGTATATTGAATCAGGATATAAAAACATATACTACATGGCCCTGACTGGCTTAACATTATGCTATATAGAGCCGAGGTGGCACAGTGGTTAGAGTGCAGTACTGCAGGCTACTTCAGCTGACTGCTAGCTGCAGTTCAGCAGATCGAATCTCACCGCCTCAAGGTTGACTCAGCCTTCTATCCTTCTGAGGTGGGTAAAATGGGGACCCAGATTGTTGGGGGCAACATGCTGACTCAGTAAACCGCTTAGAGAGGTTTGTAAAAGCACCATGAAGCGGTATATAAGTCTAAGTGCTATTGCTATATACCATGATTTGTTGAACAAGCCAATTGGTTGGGCTCAGAAAACACACTATATCTTAAACAGCCCAAAAATCATACCACAACCCAAATGCTACCAATTAAAGGATGTCATTGAATAGGGTCCAGGAAACTGGCTTTTTCTGTCATATCACCTACCCTTCAGACAGCTTGTTCAATTAAGATTCAGATTGCCCCAACCTTGCTGGCTTTTTGGAAAGCTTTTAAAACCTGGCTGTTTTCCCAGGTATGGAGATCAGAATAATTAGATCTGTAAGGTCTTGTTAATCTATTGTAGCATGGTCTGCTCTTGGTTGCCATTTTTGCTTTTTTACTTTTTTTTTGCTAATGAGCTAGTTATTGCACTGGTGTTTTAAGCTATGCTAACTGGCCAGATATCAGCCGTATAATGAAAATAATAAGCTAAATCAACACCAAAACAAATCATATTATGTTATATGGATCAGGCTTCTTTCTGGGAGCAAGTTCCATTGAAATCAGTGGGATACATTTCCAAATAACCAGGTTATTACCAGATGAATAGCATTCTGGTCAGAGGCTTGTTAACTGAGCATCTTGACAGACGTTTCTTCTCAATTGCCCAGGGCCCTGTTTTCTCTCTCTCTATTTAGAGACCAATTTAAGTATCACATCTGTCACTAAATTTACAATCTAGGAATCTACCAGTTCCCTTCTAAACAAGCCAGCAACATTGTATCTCATGAAAACAAATTCCAAATTTTCAATAAGTACTAGGGTAGGTGAAGCAGTGCCTTTTATCTTCTTAAATGCAACTGCCAATCACTTGGAAAGCTCCTTGCAAGATAAGAGAAGCACTAAGAGACACCTGAATTCAAATTTGCAATTCCTCAATAAGACAGTAGGATCTCTTAGCTAAAATTACATCAGAGTTTTGTGTGAGGAAAAAAACCCCATAGCTTCTGGGAAAACAGATAGAACAGATACACATGTAACAAATCCCATTTAGCATCTCTATCCATTTATCCATAGTATGAAATTGTACTGTATCAATTTAAACAATTTCAATTTTTTCTTAATTGAAAAGTCCAACCCTTTTACGCTATAGTTCAGAATTTTTGTTCTGCATCTTTTCTAATTTTGTGGTAAGAATGTTGAGATAAACTACATGATGTTGTTTCTAAACTGTTTTAGACTTTTAGATCATATTTTAATTATGATCACAAACTTACACAAACATAAGAAACCTTCTGTCTGGAAGCCAGATCTGCATCTAATCCATCCAGTGGATTTATTTTTTCATTCTTGCAATATATCCATGACTTTTCAATGATTTGGCCATAACATCAATATCTTTGGCAATACTTAAATATTAAATGAAGAGAATAATTTTTACATTCATACAGAATACATAATGTTGTCCCCTTCAAGACCCATACTTCCATTAACCCAATTATTTTGAGCGTACTTGAAATTACTTTTTTGTAGCCTTATACTGGAACAAGTATCTAATTTTCAGTTTACAGCAAAACAAAATCAGTACAATGAAGTTCATGTAAAAGTGTTCATTTATAGAACATCTTCCATATTAAAATACATTGAAAGAAACATTAATAAACTTTCAGTCTCATTTCTTTCATTTTAATAATAAAACATAAAGTTGCTTTATAATGACCCATTTTTTTGTGTAATATTATATTATATAGCTAAACTGAGTAGCAGATAGTACTCCAGAAATTCAGGTAGCAGACTTTCCCACAAAAAAATGCCAGAAATGGATCTTTAGCATATAAAAACACATATACTCTGCCACGGAGATAAAAAATGCTTTTTATAAATATGTCTTCCCCAAATAAGAGTAATTTTATGAAATTTAAAAATATTTTCAAGAATAGGTTTATTTACTTGATAATAAGATGATTTACATTTGTGATGTCTGAGTCTAAAAAAGATCCAGGAAGATTCATATAAAAATCCTAATACTGGACCACTTTCAATGGCAGCCAGTTTTTCTTTAGAGTTTCGGGTAAAGGGGTTCCTTTTTCGTGATGGGCCATGTGGAACTTTCAGTGTTTAACTTTTCACATATGAGTAAGAATGAAAATAAATGCCAGCATTCAGGATTTCTATTAGGAGAATATTGTCTCACAATATTACAAACAGGAGATATTTTTCCTCTTTGTTCCCTAACTCAATACAACAGAGTCTATTCATCTTCACGTAGCTCTATACTGCTTTCTCTTGATCATTTTATACTGTAATACACTAATGGAATGAACAGATTTTTTTTAAAAAAACCCTCTTTTGGACAGTCATATAATCAACATATAGCTGTTGTGAAAAACACACACACACACAGTATAAATAAATGGCTTTAGTGGTGGAAGACAGAATATTTCTGGCTCATGTTAATCTATCATAAACACTGCATATCCCTCCAAAAGAAAACATAAAGCTGAAGTCAGGAAATAGTTTTCTTCTTTCTCATTGACCATGAAATATAATTCACAAGATTGGTTTTAACTTATATCACTATTTCCACAATCATATTAAATGAGGATTCCATCTATGTATCATTGAAAAGGCATTTTATTAGCAATCTAGCCAAATTCAGTTGACATAGACAAATGTATTTTTAAACAAAATTACAGAGATACCTTAGTGGAATAATAAAACTTCTGCCTTTTGATACCAAACTAGCAGATTTATACATATGTTAGAATATGAGACTTCTAACAGAACGAACTTCTCATTTATATTTAGCTATGACATTCACTGAATGAACCATTACCTGCTCCTTGTTCAACCTAATTTGTTTTATGGGATTGTGAGAATAAAATGGAGGACTATTCACTTATTCTAGCTCTTTCTAAACAGATAGCAAATAGCTGGATTTTTTTATTCCTGCTTGTACCACTTCCTTGATCACAATTATCTGGTAACCTCTCCCACTCATAGACTACTATAATTTATTCTAAATAGGGTTACCCTTTCAAACAGGCTGTGGCCTGGTAGTGGGCCACGGCCCGAGGGTTGGAGACCCCTGGTTTATTGTTTTTGTTATTTCAGATACGTTTTTATCATTCTGATTTTATTGTACACTGCCCAGAGTCACATTTGAGATATGGGTGGCTATACAAATTTGATGCTTAAAAGCCTAACTCTTTTATTGTAAATAGGGTTTTATGAATTGGTAATATAGGTTTTACTCTGTGAAATTAAATCCTAAAATAAATGTTAAGATTTTAGGCCTGTGCAGCATTTTTTATTCAATTTCAAAGATGTGTGAGCACAAATACAGCACTAGTCTTCAGCTTTTTAAAGCAGCTGCATCTTTTGGAATCAAAATTGAAGCGTCACACAGACGTATTACATTTTAAGCTGTTTTAGTATTCTTTGCCTCTGTTGAACAGATGTTTTATTCCACCTTAATTTTGATTAATAATCCAAGGCAGCAAACATACGTAATACTCTTTCCTTGTTCTATTTTCCTCACAACTCTGTGAGGGGGATTGGGTTCAAAAAGAATGATTGGCCCAAGTCCACTCAGTTAGCTTTTATACCTAAAGTGGGACTAGAACTCAGTTCCCTGGTTTCTAGGCCAGCACCTTAACCACTACACCAAACTATAAAACAATTTGAGAAGTATAATCCCTGTGTATTTATAGGTTTCATTAACTGGAATATGCACTATTGTACATGAATTGCTGACTCAAAGTTTGAGGGGTGGGGTGCACTGTCGTATACCTTGAAATAATAGCACACTCTTATTGTTCAATCCAGTGTTTACACATACCAATTTATGGTTAATATGATAAATTCTGACTAATTTCTAATACCTGCATCTGAGGGTAGCACTGTGAGAGGAACATCTTTAGTTTCAATTTTGACTGAAGGCTCCAGCAAGGACTGCATTTTAAGGGGCACTTGTGTCACTGGCACTTTAGTCACTCTTATAAGCTCAGATGGCGGTGGTCCCTGAAACTGGATCCTAGCCCCTGGAGGGACCGGATGCAGTGTAACAGGAATCTTCAGTTCTTGAGAATGCTGTGTTCCGATAGGTTGAGACAAACTAACATCCTGGCTAATGTGAGCGGGACCACTGGAAGATGGTGGAGGCTTGGATGCCACTTCTTCCCTCCCTTTGCAATCCTCCTCGGGAGGCTCTACGAGTTCGGTTTTGATGGTCCCTTCTTTTGCAGATCCCAAGACTTTGGCATCACAGTTTTCTTTCAACTTTGCCTCCTTCTTGATCTCCTCCGTCTCTTCAACTTTCCCCAGTTTGACTTCCCCTACACTTTTCACACTGCTACAACTACTTTCATCTTTGCCGCTGAGACGGTTTGTAAGCGTTTTAGGCTCTCGTCTTTTTTTCTTGTTGCTACTTCCCATAAAGAGCAATGGGTTCTCTGGCTCACGCTCCTCCGCTTTCACCTGTAACCCTTTCTGGTGCCCGTTTTCTTCCTCCTCTTCCTGCTTTTCACAGGCTCCAGTTTCCGTCCCAAGGACAGGCTGGGAAAGCTGCTGCCTGCCAAGACAAATCTGCTCTTCCAAAACATGTTGTTGCTCTTTAAAGGTCCCCCCTTCCCCAGGCTGTGGAAGTTTCTGTTCCTTGTGCAAAACACTTTGTTTGGGAGAGAGGGGGTGCAGGAGATGGTGCTGGGGAGCCTGTTTGGGAGGGAACAGCAGAAGGTGCGGGTCCCTGCCCCCCTGTCCTGGCAGAGGGTGCAGGAGAAGATGGTCCATGCAGGCAGTGCTCTGCCAAGCCGTGGAATGCAGGAGCCGGTGCTGCTCTCTTGGGGCTTCCTCCTGCGCCCCTTTCTCCATGCCGCAGCCCGCCCTTGATAGTAGGATTGTTACGGGATTGTGAGCTCAGCCCGGTCCTCTGTTACCGCCCGTTTGTTTGCTGCGGTTGGCTTGCAAACGTTCTCCGCTCCCCCTCCCCCCCCAACTCCAAGGTCCACGCGCCCGCTCTCGACCCCGCCCTCTGGCTCGCGAGGGCCTCGCGCCTGCCGCACGTCGGCCAAGAAATGGCAATTTGTGGGGCTCCACGTGCCTCCTCACTTTTCCCTCCTTGGACTGTTGCCTGGAGGTTGCCATGGCTACCCTGGGCGCCACGTAACAATGAGGTCGCCCTTGGATACCGAGGGGAGGAACAGGCGCACGGACCCTACGTCGGTGTCGCCGCTTTTTTGCGGAGAGACGAGTTTGGGCCTCGCCCCCCCCTCCCTTTCCCCCGCGTTTGCCACCGAGCGAAAAATGGATTGCGGCTTTTTTTTTTTTTTTGAAAAAAACCCCCCATGTATCTGCTCCTTTCTCCTCATCCCACTGAGGAACCACGCACAAGTCTACGCACATGGTGGTGGTGGGAGATGAGGGGACTCGCGATCCGAGAAGGCGGGTCTCAGCCTCAGGTCTTTCTGCATTTACTCGGAAGCCTCAACGTAGGGCCTGGAAGAGGCAGAGGGGCCGGTAGTGATTCCGGCCGATCTTACGGTATCATAGAGAGGCAGCGTTAGAGTCCCCTCTCTTCCGGTGTCGCCCAGCACTCCTTCCGGCAATGCTGCCTCAGCCTCGGCTTGGCGGCGCCTTCGCTGCTATCGCTTTGGGCCTTAAGTCAAGGTTTCGTTGTTACGTCCGAGCCGCCATGGCGAAGAGCAAGTTCGAATACGTCCGGGCTTTCGAAACGGAGGATAAATGTTTGCCCAACTGCTGGATCGTGGTACGGTTGGACGGACGCTGCTTCCACCGGTAAAGACACGCTTCAACCATTGGCGGCAGCGTGTGGAGTTAACAGGCTTGGTTGCCCGGCGACCGCCCGACCAATAGGAGCGAGGGTCAGCGCCGGGATCGGCGGCGCCAGTTCAAAGTGAAATCTCTTTCGCTCTGTGGCCGTTTGGCTTCCCCGACTTCGCTCTGGGATACCGTTTCCCAGCCGTCGGCAGCTACCAGATATTGGACTTTTGTTCCCAGGGTTCATCAGTTCATATGGGCATTGCTGGGGATTCTGGGAATTGAAGTTGACACATTTGAAAGCTGCCAAGTTTGGTGAACGCTGCAAATTTGGGGATACCGCTGTGCGCTTGCATGTGTGTTTGATAATACCATAATTGATCCTTGGTAACAGGGGTTTTAATTGGACCTAGAAGCATGAGTCAAATCTTAGCAAATATTCTTTTTAATTACATTTGTAATTTTGGGAAGAATCCTTTCTCTGTAGTTGATCCTTGCTAGGGACAAAACATCAGATGCCATTATCCAGACTTCAAAAAGAATATTAGCATCCAACGTGAAAGCGTTGAATGTAGTTGACCTCTTGCAAGGAGCGCAAAGCTATTTTATATTCAGGGGTAACATTCTGCACATGTCTAGTTTTATAATTCTAAAGTTTAACTTTCCTAATAATTTCTCACTTTCTAATTGATATTTTTTAATTGGCAAAATACTACTTTTCTAAAATAGCATTTTAATGACTACCTTCTAACATTTTATAATGACAATAAAACATTATGTAAAATTAGATGGGTCCCATCTTAAATGTTTTTCATATCCTTATTCTGCAATAATTTGGAAGAACTGTCAATGGTTTATTTTAAAAGAATAAAACCATATATTGCATTTGTATAGATGGCGTGCATTGATCATGCTCCAAATGTTCTCTGGAAAAGCTCTGATTTTACTAGTTTCCAAGGAGGTCATTAAGTTGGATGTTGATATGATTAAGAGACGTGTGCTTACAATATAGAGGCTTCCATTGAAAAACATTGTCTTCAAGCACCTGCTCTTTTAACTTCTTAAGAATGGTAGACAGTTGACAAATATGTTGGAGAGCATACACCAAATGTGTTAATTTCAGATGGAAAGGTACCTAAAAGCCAAAACATATAGGACTTTATGAGTGAATCCAGCAGTTTGAATTGCAGAAACCTATGGGCAACCAATGCAGGACCCACAGTATGTTACATGGCTGTTGTGATTTTCATTTTCCAGTGCGTAGGCTACTACATTTTTCACCAACTTCAAGATATTTTCAAAAGCAGCCCCATGTAAAGCACACTGCAATAACTGTTACTAAGGTCTATTGCTCAGATACGGCTGTAACTAAGTGGGCAAAGCCCCTATCAGTATCTATAATACAGGAGAATTATTTAAACAGATACAACAAATCAAGGGTTTTTAATTATATGCTTTTCATTTTGAAGCTTTGCTGAGCAGCATGATTTTAAGAAACCTAATGATGATTGTGCTCTTAATTTGATGAACAAGTGCGCCCAAGCAGTGATGGAAGAAATGGAGGAAATTGTCATTGCCTATGGACAAAGTGATGAATACAGCTTTGTTTTCAAAAAGAAAACCAACTTGTTTAACAGAAGGGCAAGGTAATTACTTTTACAGTTTTTTCCCCCTCCCAATATATGTTAAGACACCCTTTCCAAAATAAGCTTTAATATAACAATTTGATTACTTTTGATTTTATGATACCAGCAGCTTTACCATTTATCTCCATTCTTAGAAACATCAATACATGTAGTGAAAAAGGGACAAACACAGAGAGACATCTTTGCATATGTATATTAGCACATTGATGGATAAGTGGCCATTAAATGTTATGGGCAAGGTATTTTTAACTTTCATTCACATATTTCACTCTTAAAAGTGATTTAACTGTATGAAATCTTCCAAAAATAGATGATGGCCTCATAATTGTTTAACATTAGTTTTTCAAGAGATTGTGTAATATTGGATTATAGTTTATTTAGCACATGAAGGCCTTATAGCAATGTGAGCTGCTGTGTTACTTTCAGTTTGTAAGTTAAGCCTTGTGGTATACCAAACATTTCTGAAGCACTTTATTTGACAACAAATTGTTCAATTCATTTATAGTAAAATGCAGAAAGATATTAAATCAGTTTAATACAATAGACTAAAAACATTTTAAAAGATGCTTTCTATATAATTCATAAATAAGAATAGCATTTTACATTGTATTATGAGATAGAATCATAAATACTAACAGTCAATCTTGCCTAACATAAAATATATACATGACAAAATTAAACATGTTGGATCTGGACTTTATACTTAGCATATACTTTGGGATTACTAGAGTTAGTCATTACTCTTTTTTTCTAGAGAAATCTTACATGTTTTGGAATTATGCTGTCAACATTTTGGATTCATAAACTATGAGAATAAGTTACAAATATAAGTTACAAATAAGCTATAATTTTTGGAAAGAATTTCTAAAATCATGAACAAGGCAGGCATTCTTATATTTATATAGGCTAGTTAACTCTTGTGTTGGTTATATTAAAAAGTTATGTTTTCTCTCCCTTTTTTTCCCACAAGTAAATTAATGACTCTCGTGGTCGCCAAGTTTGCATCCAGCTATGTTTTCTATTGGAAGGATTATTTTAAGGACAAGCCCCTTTTGTATCCACCAGGATTTGATGGACGTGTTGTGTTGTATCCCAGTGACCAAAATCTAAAAGATTATCTCAGTTGGCGACAAGCTGATTGTAAGTATTGCAGGAGTGAGATGGAGGTTATAGAATGATAATTTTTAAGAATATATATTTAATCCCATTTTCTGCTTTAAAAAAAACATTAAAAGTACCTGATTTTATTCACTTGAATTATCACAACTTTAGAGATGGAAAGTAGGAGGGGAGGGCTGCATCTTCCTTATAGTACTTAAGTATTTTCTTAAAATTGTATTCTTATTTAGAAATAAGTAAAGAGAATGGGAATCTGGAATATTCCACATGGTGAGGCAACTATCTGCAGAGGTCATATTTTCCATAACAAAAATGCAGCTGCCCTATTAATTACTCTATCAAATAGAATTCAGATGCTGCCTTATTAGTCAGGTCAACAAGTGCAAAGGTATTAATATTGCTGGACATTCAGGATTATCAATGATGTCTTTTATTTCCCTCCATTGCATGTAGCAATGGATGAGATGCCTTCCCCAAAATTTCTACTTATTGAATCCTTACTAGATGGCTTGCTGAATAAATTGAAGAAAGTAAAAAAAACAACAACCAACATACCTCTGCACAATGTAGGAATTTATTATAAAAATACATTTTAAGAAATTATGATGTTATTGTATTAGGTTACATATAAATAACAACAGTAGTAATTATAACACCCCTTCTGAAACCAATCTTATAGTAAATATTGCTGTCTTCTCTAATGATGTTTTTTTTCACTTGATATCACCATAGGTCATATCAATAACCTCTATAATACGGTATTTTGGACTCTTGTGCAGAAAAGTGGCCTGACACCAGTACAAGCGCAGGAGAAACTTAAGGTTTGAAACATTATTCCAAATATTTTAGCCTAAAGAGCGCATTGTACCTAGCTTGTATTATTTTCAGAAGCATAGATAATGTTCAAAGTATTTTTAATATTGGAACAGATGTATCTGTGCATTTGTGTTGTATTCCAAGTTTTATTTTACATTTGCTGTTTTTGCTGGAATGCTTGTTTACGTGGATTGGATTTGGTTTCTGGTAGGAAAGTTATAAACCTACAAAGAACTGGCTATTATTTAGAAAAGATGTAAGGATAGCAACTGATCAACTTCAGATAAAATAGGAAATAAAAAAGAGAAAACTTTATTTATTTAACATATGGCATATCATACATGGATTAGCAGTATAAATTAACATTAATTTAAATTAATTAAAAGAAAAAGATTAAGAAGTTCCCTTTTTAATCTGGTTAATGCTAGTTAGCCTACTTAAAAAGTAGTAATTGTTTGTCAGGGAATCATCTACCTTGAGATTTTTTCTCTAAATTATTACTTGGTTTAGTGGTTAAGGGGCCAGTCTAGAAAGCGGGAAACCATGGGTTCAAGTCCTGCCCTGGAAAGTCAGCTGGATGACTTTGGGCTAGCTACTCTCTCTAGCCCAACTCATTTCACAGAATTGTTGTGGAGAAAGGAGGAGGAGGAAGGTGTGTTGCATATGTTTTCCACCTTGAGTTATTTGTAAAATAAAGGTAGGAAATAAATAAATAAATAAAAATAGAGCTGCAGGAGAATAATGATGACACAAAGCTCAATTCCTCTGGAAAAACAATGGTGTTTGTTAGCTGTAATTGGATTCATTTTCTTCTCACTTTTTTAATTTTTAAGACCTTGAAATTTTATAAGAAATGTAGTATGTACTACATACTTTTCATTGCTCAACTTTAGCTCTATCATTCAGGAAGGTTTGATCACTGATCAACTTTAGTTTCCTAAAGTTCATTTCCCATGTGCAAAAGTTAGTGGGATGTAGCATAGATTAGACACTTGAATGGGATCAATCATCCATCTGCTACTGATAATCTTGGCAAGGAGATCAAAAATAGTATTTTCCAAGACATTTTCTTTGCCGTCGTCCTTATCTGTACCTCTATGCACAAGCATATTTATGGACAATTCTTTTTCTCTTGATAATATCAGCTTTGGATCTGAAATGGGGAACTTGATTGTGTGTGGGTGAACTATGTGAGTGTTTCAAGAGTGTAACAGCTCCAAAATTCCCAATCTACCTTCCAGCCCAGAGTTAGGGAAATATAGTGATTTCTCTGTGTGCTACTGGAGATTCAACTAAGGACCAGAGGTGGTATTCAGCTGGTTCTGTCTGGATTGCCCGAACTGGTAGCAGAAATTGCTTGTGGCTCCACCCACCCACCACGGCTCTATGACGTGCTTTTTAGGCATTTTTGAGGCTGTGCACATGCGCGCGCGCTCACATTTGCGAACCTGTAGGGAAGGTAAGTGAATAGCACCCCTGCTAAGGACTCTGGCCATGTTATGTTTTATCAAAATTACAAGTAAATGAAAATATCGACTTCTAGATCAGGGTAAAAAAATTATATATGTCATGGTGACATATAAGTATAAATAGCTATTAAGAGAAGACAGAGCACATTACATTTTTTGCTGCTTGGCAAATAATATTCTCTCCCAATTTCAGAAAGTTTACAAGCTAAAAATAAATGTTTGTGTATGCACTTACACCCATGAGTTGAGTCCACAGAAGAAAGTGATACTGAAATTTCTGTTTTTTAAAATGTTTGTTATAGAATAAAAATATTAAATTTTTAAATACTAAATTTGCCTTCTTCAATCTGGTACCCTTTTGATGTGTTAGATCTCAGTATTATATTTTATGCAGTCAGGGAGTTCTGATAGTTATAGTATAAGCACATTTGTAGGCCACCAAATTGGGAGAAAGGTATATTACATTATTTCACCAACCTTTTGCCTGCTACTAATAGTGATGGATGTGGCATCTTAGTCACCTGTTAAAGAATGAAGCTAGTAGCTATGAAACAATGCTTCCCTATTTTCTTTCTTTCTGAAATGAAGAGCAACATCCATTTATTACATTTGAAATTATTAGAGTTCTCCTAGGTTCTTATGAAATGGTTTTTTTCCACTTTAGGGAACCCTTGCAAATGACAAGAATGAGATTTTATTTTCTGAATTCAACATTAACTACAACAAAGAACCTGAAATATATAGGAAAGGAACTATTTTAATATGGAAAAAGGTAAGTCATACTTGTTTGTCTTTAAAAGGGCAGCAAACATATTTTAAGTAAGTAATGATACAAAATATTTTAAGATAATAAAGTGATTTTTTTTACAAAACCCATCTGTGCTGAATTACCAGAGACATCTGTCCTATCAGTTGATTATGCTTTTATATTAAGTTACTGCAGGAATTATTTCTGTCTTAGACAACCAGAAGCATTGTTTTAGTCATCAGCCATTCAGTTGTGTCCGACCCTAGGCCACTCTATGGATCAGCACTGTCCATGCTCCTCTGTCTTGCACTGCCTCCTTCAGATCCTCCATGGCCATCCCGGTGACATCCATTATATGTCCACCCAGCGGGTACTGGGCACCAGAAGCAAAATAGTGGTAATTCTGGTTTGAGATTTAATTAAAGCTGGATCCTCACATATTAACTAACCCTGCTATTAAAGGTGGAAACGTTTTGGCTTATGAAGTCTCTATCCAGATTATTTGTTTATATATAAAATCAAATCACATTCTTATCTCTATTGAGTCCTTTCAAAAATAGTTGTAAAGTAGAATACTGTATTAAATTTAATCTAGCCAAAATATTAAGCATTATATTTCACTAAATATCACTTTAGTGTTCAGTGAAATAAAGTTGAAAAAAAGAGGCAGACTTTATCAAGTGTAATAGTACTGAACATTTACACTGGAATACACACCATTATGCTGTTCATATTTTGTGACATTATACTGATTTTATTTATTAAATTTATATGCCATCCATCTCACTCTTACAGTGATTCTGGGAGGCTTACAGAATGATAAAAAGATAAAAAAGAGATAATATGAAATTATTAAAATTAAATAAGAAAATCAAGGGGACAGGTGACATGTGGGTAGAAATCTTTTCTTTACCCACTCAGTCACCTCAGCATAGGGTGCCCCTATCAGTGCCAGCTGGCAGAGCCAGGTTTTGAGCCTTTTCTGGAAGGCGAGGAATGTGGGGACTAATCTTCCCTCCAGTGGGAGAATATTCCAAAAGGCGCAGGGATCACAGCAGAAAAGGCTCTTTTCCTGCAGCCTACCAACTGAAATTCTTCGGCAAATGGGATCCGGAATATGACTTCTGCTGGAGTGAGTGGGAGGAACCTGTCCCTTTGGGATCAATGGCTCCACTGATACTCTGGATCCAGGGTTTAAAGGTAATGACCCAACATCCTGAATTGGATCTGGAACGGATGTTGGGTGTGGTCTCAGTACTATTCCCAAAAGTTATTTTTTCATTATTATATTTTATATCTTTTCAACACTTAAGTATTCTATTGATAATACGCCATCTTATTTCAGCTTTCCTTCTTTAGGTCACCTTTTGGTCATGAAAGACCACTATTTACAGTCATTTTCCTATGTATTGCCAGTGTAAAAAACCAACAAAGCTTGAGTGCTTCTAGATGTTTGTATTTATACTTGAACATTTTGTGTATCAGCTACCATTATTTACATACCGTATTTATTTAGCCAAGCCCAGGGCTTTGGCAAGGGAAAGTGAGATCCCTCACTTCATCATGCTTCTCATTTTTCATCTATATTTTTTTATGATTTATATGTTCTATTGGACAGGTAGTCCTTGACTTACGACCACAGTTGGGACCAGAATCTCAGTTTTGAGTAAAGTGATCGTTAAGTGAGATGCCCATGTGAATGTTTTGCTCAATGACCACAATCCCAGTACTCATGGTTGTGATTTAAGCAATCCCCTGGGTCATTAAGCCGAGTAAGATTGCTGCCTGCTGAGTTTAGCTCTTTTCTATGTGTAGAAGAGAACTGCTCTGATGGCTGCAGAAATGAGGCTCCCATCTTGGGATCTGTCTTCCTTTTCTGCAGCTCTTCAGAAGACTACTCCTCCCCTCTGCATCGAGAGGAATGCCTTCAAAGGGCTACTGAAACAACTCACTTGGGATCTGAACTTCATTTCTGCAACCCTTTGGAGGAGTTCCCTTCCCTTCCATACGCAAGAGGATAGGGAATGTTCCAAGTACCTGTTTGTCTTCAATCAGATCTTCCTATTTGAACATAGCATAGAGGTAGTCCTTGACTTGCGAACAGTTATGGCCAAATTTGTACTCTAATTAAGTATACAAATCAGCAAACTATAGTATGAAGTCATGGTATGGCTTTTGCATCACCACCACCCCCACCCCCACCCCAGCCAAAAGCAAGCAAACTTATTTTATGTTTTCATGAAAGCCAAGCAATGCTTTCCCCCCCCCCCCCTTTTTTTTCCTGCCCTATATTTTGCCTCCAGGCAAAAAAAGGTGAAAACATAATGACACTCAGCATCCTTGGTATTCAAGATGTGATTCTTTTATTTTCATAGGAATTAATTCATTAGAACATGTTAAGGTTTTCTGAAGATTAAACACATTTTTATTTCCCTTTTGCTCCTATTGGAAATTATGCCATTAATGATTTGATGCCAGACTTGTGCAGAGTAGTTTTGGGAATGAGGCAATTCTTTGAAGACTTTGGGAGAAGGTTGTGGGGGATGCTACTTATAGTTTGCCTCTTCCTGGTTTAGCATTATGCATCAGTTTAAGCCACTGCATGTCAAAAACATGTTGAAAAAGTCATTCTCTTCTAGATGAAGTAGAGTTAAAATGCTTTGAAGATGAAGTCTGCCATTTTACACTGATAGTCTAATACATGAAAGTGATACTTCACTTTAATACACTAAACACTGCAACTCTAAAAGAATTAAATTCTGAATAATTTTAAAAAGTTCAATTATTAATATATTATTTGTACTTCTATTCCTAGGTAGATGAAATCATTAAAAAAAAAATTAAAACGGGGGAAACAGACGAGAAGGAAATGGAAGAAACCAGGATGAGAAATAAACCAATTCCTTTGCATTGTGATATTATTGGAAATGAATTTTGGGAACACAACCCTCAAATCCTGCTTGACAAGAGGTGACCTTTCCTATCTGCATTTTAGTCTGAACCTATTGGGTATAATTTATTTTATAAGGACTGCATCATGGTGGGGAGAAAAATGTAATCCTGTATTTTGTAATAGCCATTTTACTTCCGGGAATGAATGAAAAATCCAGGTATTATTCATAAATACTTTTTTATTAAAATTACGAGTAGGCTGATAATATTAAACTTTACACTGAAAAAGGAATGCCTTTAATTTCTTCTCTGGCCCTCAAAAGAACTCTACTGCTGTAGGTCTCATGAGATGCTAAGTTGCCCATTTAAAACTCTGAAAACATTTAAACTACTCCTTCAAATTAAATTCTATCATCAGGGAGCCAAGTTACAAATTATCCTAGTTGCTAATGTCTCTGGATTATATGAGTGATAAACAAAATACCCTGGCAAGTAGCAGAAAGTAATTAGGAAGTTTTCTCTCAAGTGTAAATTAGTTCCGGCCTTTTTGAAAGCTATGGAAACATAATTTCCCTCTGTAATCGAACATTTATTATTTGGACTCTCTCCTTGCTGCTTTTCGGATTATTAGACAAGGTCTCAGGTGGCCAACCAAGAGCAATAATGTTATTGTATAAGGGAGATAGCGCAGCAGGGTGTGTTTGTAGGTCATGCTCTCATTTTGCTGCTGCCTGGGAAACTATCCAGTTCCTGCTGTTGAGAATTGTGGCAACCAACTTACTGAAAGTCTTGTATTGGGATGTGAAGTTCAAAGAGTTGTGTTACTCTTCTGCCTTTTCAAAGGCCATGCTGCCCAGGAGCAAAAAGGATAGAGGCATTGGGACCAAATGTGAGATTTGTGAAAAATTGGCCTTCTCTAGTGGCTAGATTTTATATAGAACTTTTTAAGGCGATTCTTAATTGTTTGTGAATTTGCTCTAAAAGGAAATCATTTAGAATAATAGGCATTTAGCATCATTTTAAAGCCATTGGAAAAAATTGTACTTATTTTTTTCTGAAGTGACAAGTGTCTTCGTTACTATAGTTAAGATAGCATTAAAGGGGTAAAAAGAAACGAACAATTAGCATTCCAAAAATGGTGTGCTCTTGTATCTGTGTCAGCAATCCACAATACTTGTAGTGAGGTTAGCAGGAATAATAGACAAAGTATCTATGCAAGGTGGATTTTTGTATTCCTGCTTTCCATAAGGTGCTCCAGGGTATTGGCAGCAACAATAAAAAAGCAGCTGTGTTTTCATAACACACTGAAGCAAAAACAAGCTGGCCAGTTGTTAGCCTAGTGCAGGGGTGTCAAACTCTATTTCATTGAGGGCTGCATCAGGATTGTGTTTCACCTTAGGGGCCATGGTAGGCATGGCCAGAGTGGGCGTGGCCAGCTTAACATCACTTGTGTTGGGGGCGTCTGTGGTGGCCTGAGTGCTCTGCCAGCGAAAATGGGCTTCCAAGCTGTTTTCAGCTGTGACGGCCTCCTGCTGCCTTCCGACACAGACCCCCCCCCCAGCTCCATTTTCACTGGCAGAGTGCGGCAGGAGGCCGTCGCAGCCAAAAATAAAGCCACACGCAGCCCTCCTGAGCTCCATTTTCACTGGCAAAGGCACCCCGGGCCAGTCCTTTGGTATTTTAGGGTAGCTCCGCGGGTCAGATCTAAGCACCCCGTGGACTGGATCTGGTCCCCGGGCCTTGTGTTTGACATCCTTGGCCTAGTGCCTTTATGAATTATTATTACTAAACCATCACCTTTCTCCAATCTAGCAGAGATCTCCAAGAGAGATCTCTGCTAGATTTAAAAACCAGATTTGTTTTAATCACATTTTGCAGGATCCAATCTGGGTCGGTCACTGGGACCAGAGGTTTTGTCTTCTGAGCTTTCAGACTCATGCTAGAGCCCATCTTCAGTGAACTTCTCGGTAGCAGAATGTGTCATATTTTGTTACATCAGCCATACTGAGAATCAGAAGATGGAATATACTTGGCTCACTAATTTGTCTATTTTTAAGTAATCAACCTATAAGACATAAGCAGAAAATGAGGTACATGATAGACTTCTTACAGACCTAAATTTTAAAAAAATCCTAATTTCCAATTGTCAGTAAACAATTGTGTTCATCCCTCATAAGTCACCTTACAGATTTAAATAGTCAGCCAAAACAATTATGAGGTAGGGTGGAGAAGCTGATCCTGTGCATAAGATATTCCTTGGTGCCTACTAATCAAGGTTGCTTTTTTCCCTATTTCTGTCAGACCAGGCTAAAACCTTTACTGTATGGTCTTCTTTTTGGTTATCTTCTAGAATCTGGGTTTGATTGAGATGAGCCTCTATAGAAATTGAATAAATAAATATTTACAACTGTTCATCCTTCTTTGCTTATTTTATTGTTCATATTCTTGCACAATCACTAACTTCCTTGTTAACAGTTGACTGAATCACAACTTTGGACCCAACCTCTGAAGGTTGTTAGAATCAGCGTATCATATTATGTTCAGTAAATCTGGCCTTGCGTGTCCACTATTTTGGTTCCTACTGGACAGTTCAAACGTCAGCAAATGGCCTTCTTTTCTAAATGGGTTAAAGATAACCTTTAATAAATGTTTAGTTCTATAACTGTGAAAAATATCTACTGGCCTTTACTAATACATATATACAAAATGCTTTATACAAGATCAATGGCATATTAGCATACCATTATTTTCCATTTGTACATAGAATTGCCTGAAACAAGAAGCAAACTGGAAATGTTATAATACTTGATATTTAACCTGACTACTTTAGTTACTGCACTGAAAGAGACCCTTGTCTAGCTCAACTACTACTCATTATTAATGGAGTTGACAGCATTATTAAAATGGTTGACATTTCTGCCAACCACTCACTCCCATCCCCCCCCCCCCAAAAAAATCTAGCTACACTACCTGAACATCAAAGGATCCGGGAAAACTATTAGATGGCAGCAAAGAATCTTGAAAACTGACATCTAGTGACCATTTGGTGCAATGCAGCCCTGACATGACCGCTCAAGCTAACAGCCCTGAAATACCTTAGCCAAGCACTAACCAGGCCAGAATCTACTTCGCATCCAAAAGGCATAGCCTGGTTATCCTTGTTCCACTGCACCCGGTGCTCAGCAGGTGTTATTACAGCATGGTTTACAGTAGCCCTCATTAGTTTTTACTATGATTTACCGGTAGTGAATAAACCCAATGGCCGGGCTCACAAAAGACCAACTCAAATGCAAACCAGCCGCGGTCTGTACCCTTCCTAGCCCGCGCGGCCAAGTGTTGAGCAGTCCGCAGCCTCAAGAAAGGAATGCGATGTCTTGAGAACCGAGAGTTCCGCCATCCCTTCCTCAGATGAATGAAGGCGAACGATGGTCGTCCTTCTAGCCGGCCGAGCCAGAGCCAAGGGCAGCCTTTCAGGGGGCCATCTCAGCGGGCGGACGGGCGACAACGCAGTTCTCGCCGGCCTGCCGAGAGAGCATCAAGAGGCGGCGGGAAATGCGGGAAGGGACCTGGCGTGCAATCGCGGGACTGGGGCGGCCCATAGCGGCGAAGGAGCGCGCTGCGGGCGCCTCTTCCTGCCCCTCCCAGCAGGGCCGGGACCTGGGCAAGAGCGGGAGAGACATGGAGGAGGAGGCGGCGGAGAAGGCCGGGGCTGAGCCCAGGAGGCGGAGGAGCCGGCGCCACTCAAGCGGGCGTCGCAGCTCGGAGCGATCCCCGAGTCCCGGCCGGCTGGATGTGAGCTCGCCGCGCTTCGACCCGCTGCTGGCGCTGTACTCGGAGCGCACCCCGTTGCCTTACCCGGCCGCGCCCTGCTTCAACAACCTGGCCGAGTACGAGAGCTTCCAGCGCGGCCTGCTTCGCGCCCCGGGTCGCTCGAGAGCAGCCGCCGGCCGCAGCAGCCGCTCCGCCGGGACTCGTACTCGGAGCCGGGCCGGCCGAGCCCCCGCCGATCCCGAACGCCTCCAGCGGCTCCGCAACCTCATGCTGGTCAAGGAGCCCAACCCAGAAGCGGCGGAGAGAGCGAGGGCGCGGGGCAGGAAGGCGCCGCGCAACGTCCTCACCAAGATGCCCCGTAAGCTGAGCGGCGTTTAGCGCAGCGTCTCCTTTCGGACGAAATATCATGATTCCCCCCCTCCCCCCCTCCCCTCACACACTCCACCTAGCCGCCCGAAGGGATAGGCACACTCTCGCTTGCCGGATTCTAGCCTTGGTTATTGGAAAGCAGGTTCTGGGGTTGGGTCCCGCCGGTGAGATCTGCCACTGAACGCAGTTTGCGCATGTGGGGCGAGCTGTGAAGTGCAGAATATGTATTGCTGCATGTTGGCATTGATCCGAGATCCGCGCATTGGGCGCAGATAGTCACGAATGAAAACCCGAGTGGGTGAAGAATAATCTTGTGTAAAGAGCGAGTGGTTTCCAAAAAAGAATATGCGACGTTCACCAAAACAATCTTTTAAACAGTTCTGGTAATTCTATTTTCCAGTTGTAATTGATTTTAAGTTAATAGTAGGTGCTAAAAAGAGTGGAAAAAAAGTGGGAATACAGAACTATGGGTGATGGCCCATTTGGAAGGTAGGTATGGAACGAGTCCTGACAAGCCATTTTGCAGCTAGAGTTAGTCGATGGGTCCCACGCCATACCAAATTATAAATTAGCTGCCTACATTTGTCCTTAGCATCGGAAATGGGTTTCAGCAGGTTCTGGCCAGTTCTGAAGAACCGGTAGCAGAAATTTTGAGTAGTTTGGAGAACCGGTAGTAAAAATTCTGACTGGCCCTGCCCCCATCTATTCTCTGCCTCCCACATCCCAGCTGATCAGGAGGAAATGGGGATTTTGCAGTAACCTTCCCCTGGATTGGGGAGGGAATGGAGATTTTGCAGTATCCTTCCCCTGGAGTGGGGTGGGAATGGGGATTTTACAGTATCCTTCCCCTGCCACGCCCAACAAGCCACGCCCAACAAGCTATGCCATGCCCACCAAGCCACACTCACAGAACCGGTATTTTGAAACCCACCACTGCTTAGCATGTTGTGTGAATTGAGCTTATGAGCCTAGTTCTTTATTTTAGTGTGAATCCACAATGTGGGATCAATTATTAAACCATAATTAGGTTGACTTTAAATACTGTATGTGGGTCATAATTAGCCAGCAAATGTGGTCCAAGGAAACACCTGGTTAAAGAGTTTGAAAATTTGAGGTGTAGTGAGGAAAGATCCTAATGATGGGTGCTTTCTTGTTTTAGGAAAAAAGGGCACTGAGGAGTTTGCTGTAGTGATTAAGGCACCAAGCTAGGAACTGGGAGATTGTGAGTTCTAGACCTGCCTTAGGCATGAAAGTTGGTTGGGTGCCTTTGAGCCAATCACTCTCTTTCAGCCCAACCCACCTCATAGGTTTGTAAGGAAAATAAAAGAAGGAAGGAGCATCAGGTGTATTTGTTGCTTTAAGCCATTTGTAAAAAATAATAAAGGCAAGATAAAAATGAATAAAAATACTGAAGGTAATCAGATTTTCTTTAATTGTCAATGAAGCATAATGAAAGAAAGATGCCCAACTATGTTCTGGAGGTCACATTGTTCCATATTCTGAGGTATAAGAGGTTAAAGGACCTTATAGATTCATCCTCTGCTGGTGCTAAGCAGGATTGAATGTGGGCAATGTAAATGCTATTTGAATAAATAAGAGAAGATGTACATCTGTTAAATGAAAAGTTGAGATCACTCGTGCCTCATCACTTTCACCATGGGACCACAGAGCTTTAATAAATTGAATGCCCTAGTTACTGGACTGCTTGAAAATTGATTAAAGAGATGATCATAATTGGCCAATGAACATTTCTTTTCTGATGGAATAATGCTAGGAAGAATGAGAGAACTGTCCAAGATATTTTCTTGGGAAAGCACCAAAATATTGCTGACATTCTTACGCATAAGGAATTGAGGTAGAATGGCTTGGAACCATTTCTGATAATAGAGCCATAGTTGGTAGAAAATAAAGGATCTAAAATTTCTACTGGCTTAGATGTTCTGGATGTTGTTAAGTATTCCTGTTTAGATGAGATTGAGAGTAGCTTCAAAGTAAAAACCCTACTATGGGTCCAGCATGAAGTAAATACAAACTGCCTATATTTTCTCCAGCATGTTGTGCCTACATAGCAGGCAACTTTCAAAAACACATTTAGAACATAAGGCATGTATTAATTTTTATTCTGCATTCTAAAATAATGTTCAAAGGTTGTGCTGAGAAGGTCTGGCTATTAGTAGCTGATACTAACGGCATGCAAGAGATTTTGGATTTTAAATGCTTCAGCTTTGAAATAATATCTTAGGTTCAAAATAGTTATTTTAACCTTACTTGGAAGTGTTCTTATGTTGTGCTAATCATTCTGGTAAGGTTGTAACCACTCATTTCAAAATTATACTGTTCAGAATAATTCAAAATGTTTCACAGCTTCCTAATCGACACAAGTCTGTCATTTGCAGGAACTTGTTCCCCCCACCCCCTTTAAAAGCTTATTCTTTCAGATTTGAATTAAAATGACTAGACTTGGAGAAAAAGCTGTAAGAAGCATTTTGAAAGCCTAGAACTTGACATTGTCTTTTGCAGCTGTTGTAGCAATAGTTAGGTTGTTATGATCCCAATTAAATAGCAACCAAATAACTGCAGCTCTCTATCACTTTACAAGAGAAAAAGGTTCACTTCTTTGGGTTGTGCTTTCAGAGTGATGCAAGATGATAATACCAAAAAAAAAAAAAAAAATCATCTACTTCTCATCTAGCTGATAAAGTATAGAAGCTTTTAATTTATTGAACACGTTTCAGTGAATCTTCCAAGGAATTCCAGATTCCAATAGCAATGGAAGTAGCATAGTATAGTGTGGAAATTTTCAGTGAAGTGGCAAAATTACATATTCTTAAGCATGCCTAAATGACCTTGTGCACTCCTATCCAACCTGGCCATCCTCCAGATGGGTTGATTACAACTCATAGACTTCCTCAGCCAGCCTACACTTGGTTGCAAATAGTCACAACCTAAACCCACAGTACAAGATGTATCTAGGTAATGGAAGGATGTCTAAATGATAGGAAGCTGGGGGAAAAGAATTTTGTACTGGCTTGGAGCATCTGCTGTTTACTGTATCTTAAGATGATTCCTCTCCAAAAGAAAGAGCTGTTGCCAATGGTTAGAACCATTCCTGGACATTTCCTCCTTCCTAATATCTCTGTATATTTGGAACACTTATAGAATCCATTCAAAAAATAGTAAATTCAAGACTGCAACCTCTATATTAGATAATTTAATATTCTTTTAATGTTAACACGACCCTTTTAATGTTATCCAGAGAGATGGCTGGTATATTTATTTTTGTCACTTATAATAAATGATGAGCTATAGAAGACTAATCATTTGCAAGATTAGAATTTAGACTGCATTGATTGTTGTTTGGCTACTAACATGATTATCAACCAGAAATATTAACTACTGCATAGTGACAAGCCTTTTAATAATCCTTTAGAATTGGGATATTAAGCATATGTACTGTGCTAAAAATCCATTTCACTACTATTGCATATCCAATTACATACCCATAAACTCTGTATGAGTAATTATATGTCTGCAGTTCCTAAAGCCAGAGAAAAATAAATTCTATGACATTAAGAATAATACTTGTTAATGTTTGGAGAACTATTATACAGTATTTGATTAAATGATTCTCACTGAATAAAAATGTGCTATTCTTTTGGTTTTAGAGGGATGAAAAATCAAGAACCATGTCAGTTAATGCTTAATAAGAAGGTAGATAGAACATTTGGGAACTTTCAGATGGACAGTTCTGAATAATACAATGCAAAATTATCCTGCAGGTATTCTCTCTCACGCTTTGTGGGCAGAAGTATAATTCAAATAATAATAGCAATAATAGCTGCAAGCTGTTTTGTTCTACAGCAAATTATGGTTGTTATCTTAATTTCCAGTTCATGAAGGCAGTCCACTTGGGGAACTCCACCGCTGTGTCCGTGATGGTGTAAAGGTCAATGTCCATATCCGAACTTTCAAGGGGCTTCGTGGTGTCTGCACTGGATTCTTGGTTGCATTTGACAAGTTCTGGAATATGGTAATCCTGAAATTTCCCTTCTGTGGTTTTTACTTTGTCAGGGAATTGTGCAGCCGGTGTCCAAATGGAGTCAGAGATGCTGACACGAGCCAGTTTTATATACTATAAATATATTTACAGTAAACAAGGCAAACAGGAGTATCGTCAGGTAAATCAACCCAGCAGGAACATCCTCAGGTAAATCACAGAAAGCGCACACAGCACACAGAATAAAAAGGTGGGAAACAAGGAACCTCCCCCTTTACCCTTACAGCAACCAATCACAGCTCAGATTCCCTCATGCAATGGCCAGCTCTCTTTAACCAATTAGCTGTAACTGTGTGTTCTTACTCATTGTCCAACCCTTCATTGGTCCAGCTATTGAATTTTAAATATCTTAATATACTAGCATTTACTTGAAAGCTTCAGACCAACCTCCATGTGAATATATGTAGTTAGGAGAGCAAGCAGGACTATGGAGTGCTTGCTCTCCTAACTACATATATTCAAATGGTATCATTGGCATTTCCAATACAAGAAAATGTCAAAAGAATCTGGGCTTTTATGTTAAGTCTATGGAATTTTTCTTAAATGCCTTAATATATCCGAATGGGCTTATTCTCATAATAAAATAAAAATTGTGAGTGAGCAAGGTGAACATCCTATATTGCTTTATAATATTTCAATCAGACACTGAGAACAAGTATCAAATCATTGTTTTATGTTGATATCCTTCTGACTCCTGTCATCTTTCCCCACTATGACGCCAAAATTTACGTTAAGAAGATCCTGTATGTTTTAAGTCTTTCTGCCTATTTGCCTTGCACCAGGCCCTGACTGATGTAGACGAGACATACCGAAAACCAGTGCTGGGTAAAGCTTTCTACGTGGAGCCACAGTTGACCCTCACCAGAGTAAGTTTCAATTCTCCACAATATCACATATGTTTCAAAAAGACATGGCTCTTTCCTGTCTTCCTCTACCTTATAAAAGTCTGATTTCACTGCTAGCAAAGAGGAAGGAAGGTTATTTCTTCTTTTATTCATCGGCAGAGATCATTTGGGAGTTGAAGTTTGTTCAGAGTTTAGCCTCTTGCTCTCCGGTGATTTGATTCAGTGGCTGTCATCTTAGTTTTGTTTTTGTTTATTACTAAATGTTTGTATCAGTCACCAGAAACTCACAATGATTTAAAACCGATTCCTACATTTGTCAGAATTACAGTCATGTCCTAATGCTATGGAAACTAAGATTTGGTCTACTCAAAAGAATCAGAATTTACAGAATGTCTTTGTAGCAGGACTTGGGAAGCAGAGGTACTGTTGCTTTCTTTACCAGCTTGTGGGCTTCTCACAGACACTTGGGTCAGTTACTGTGGAACACAATGCTGGAGTAGATCGGCTTAAACTTGATCAAATGAGGATAATCTTACATGCTAGTTTTTCTCTTCCATTCTTCTTTATATTCTTTCACCAATACATTTGATCCATGTTGGGGATGAAGGTAGGCCTAATCATCAAGAGTCCACAAAGTTCAGTTTGGCTAGCTACCAGATCAATAACCAGGATTACTCCTAAACTTGTCCCTTCCTAAGTGGGTAAAGTTAGGAAAGGCTGGGTCTTTGATCTTGCTTCAGGCTTTTTGTCATTAGACTTTTCAAGTGTAAATATATGTACATTACTAACATTTAATATTGGCAGTGCACTGGCTACTATATAAAATTGAAATGAACCCATCTCAGAGGTATTTTAATTCAAATCAGCTGCATCAATGATTGTGGCATATTTTTTACTGACAGATCTGCAGTATAGTATGTGTACTGTACGAGAAGTGTGTGAATCATGCATGGTCATGTCTATAGAAAATACAAGGAACTGTGGTGGTGCAGTGGTTAGAATGCAGTATTTCACGATAACTCACTACTCACTTCCAGGAGTTCAATTTTGAGCAGCTCAAGGTTGACTCAGCTTTCCATCCTTCCGAGGTTGGTAAAATGAGGACCCAGATTGTTGGGGACAATATGCTGACTTTGTTAACCTCTTAGAGAGGGCTGTAAAGCACTGTAAAGCAGTATATAAGTCTAAGTGCTATTGCTATTGGAGAACTTGTTGACTAAGGAAAAACAGATCCTCTCTTCTTCAAAAGAGAATTTACTAAATCTTTGATTTACAAATTTTAATTGGACAAAGGAGATTAGTTTATCATTTGAAATCTCAGTCAGAGTATAAAATACTCTGTGCCATCTTTTATGACTTGTGAATTTATTTCCAATGTTTCTCTGTAGCTCTTCGACAGACTGAGGTTGCAGGAGTCCTTGGTTAAAAAAGAAGCCGATTCAAAGATGACTACGGACTTGCCAGCCCTTCCATATGATCCAAGGACATCGAGGAGGAAATCTGAGTCAGGTAGGGGAAGATCAGAGGAGAAACATGGAGCAAAGAAGCACGTCAGCAGAGAGAGGACACGAAGCTCTAGTTTGCCGAAAGTTTCTGGGAGAGACATGGATTTGCCCAGCAGAATATCCCAAGTAGAGGAGAAGAGCATGGGTGGCAAAAGAGGCCGTTCCCGAAAAAAACAGAGGCCCAGAGTGGATTATCAGCAAGTGTTTACACGACACATAAACCAGATTTTCATTCGGGGAGAAAATGTGCTGCTTGTTCACCTGTCACATTGATCTCATTGACTGATTCCAGCCACAGCAGCTCAATGATGAAAAGAGACAGTATTTTAACTCTTTTTCCTTTTGGCTAAAAGAGGGAAAGGATTATAGACATAGAGACTTGAGCCAATTGTCTGTTTGAGTGGACTGGAATTTATCTACAGCTGATGCGATGTCTCCCAAAACAGATGCCCTAAACTTTGGGAGATGCACAGGCTGTGTGGCTTTCAAAATTGTACAGCTTGGATGTGGAGTGACTTTCCTTATACAGTAAATATTTAAATTCTGCAGTATATACAGCTGGCTAAGTGGGTCTGGAAAAGCCACATGGTCATGACACTGATGATACTTGATACATGATACTTCGATGAGAAATGTGAATTAAGAGACAGAATGCTGTAAGCTTGTGAAAAGGAGCTACAGCTGTAGGAATTAGCTTGCTTGAAGCCATCTCTCTCTTCTCCGTACACTATGCATAGGGGCCCTCAAAGGACTGGTCCAGCTTTGCATTGCTCCTAAAGGAGTCCCATTCTCCAAAAACGAATGGAAAGAAAAAGGAGTTTGCATTGCAACTAATGTAATTTTTTAAAAAAACTTTCCTCGCCAGTTCATCTTTTCTTTTTTCTTTTTCAGTGACTGAAAGCAGCCTTTGACCTTTTGTTTGACATTTATAAAAACTGAGCCTTCCACCCAATTTTTCTTTACTTGTTTTCCTACCCATTTCTACCTGCAAGACAATATGTGTGGCTTCTCTGGCTTGAGCTTGCTTCGGTGTATTTTTCAACAATCCAGAAATTGTAGCTTTTTTCCCATCCATTTTTGTGTCTTTAACAATGAAGACTAAGATATACATATGCGGTTTAGAAAAAAGAAAATGTTGAATGTATGCTTGGTGTTGCTATCTGCTATCTGGTGGCTTTGGGAAACTGATTTCCCCGCAACTCTTAGTAACTACAGAAAATACTTGGTTTGCAATATCTACTAGGAGTTTTCCAATTATTTTTTGACTCTCAGTGATCCTTTTCAAATGCTGCTTGTTCTTGAGAAGGATGTTTAAAACTGCTGAAAAGAATGCATGATGATTTTTCAAAAAAAAAATGGTGCTATTCACAGCACCTCTGTATCTTTCAACATCTGTCAGAATGGTGCAAGATGTAACAATGCATGCATATGGACCATGTCATGAAAATGTTTAGGGCACTATAAAATAGCAATTCTGCTTATGGGGAATGTGTAAAACACATCAGTAGCGAGAGAAGATTCCCTTAAGTAGGAGAAATGCCATAAGGTCTTTTACAATTTTATTAAAATAGAATTCCAAAGCATCTATAAAAGCATAATTAATACAATACATTTGGTGAGTCATTCTGCATTTCTAAAATAACTAGAAAAATCTAATGACTGAGTTGCATTATGCAAAGGTCAATTGTGATATATTTTTGTCTGAATGGCAAAACCAAGTGCATTTTGTCTAATATTCTCCAGAGAGTAAAAATCAAGCATTTGAGGGAGGGAGAAATCTTATCAGATTTTTTTTTTTTTTTACAGATAATATTTTGGGGTATCAGAAGCATATTAGAAAGCACGCAGCTTTGCTGTTGCATGTGATGCTTATCTTGGAAGCAAAACAGGCAATTAAAAGAAAGCCTCATTACTCATTTCTCAACACTTTCCTGGGGTGGCAAAGCCTTTAGCCACCATTCCACCGGCAACTAATGGAAAACCAATTTTCTTTTGGGATGCTGGAGCCTTGAATTGCATGATAATAATTACACAAAATAGGGAAGCCCATGGAAGACATTTTCCTGACTCGCATCAAGCCATCTCTTTTGGAGTGCTCAAAAAAGATAAAAATAATCATGAAAAGCGATTTTCAATGCAAATGCATGAGGAGAAAGTTGAGTGGCTCCCACTCTCAAGTCTTACTTTAATTTAGGTTAAAGTGTGACAATGTGTGTAACATTTAATTTTCCCCAGTATTGAATAACTCAAAACATCAAATTTTATTTCATCAGTGTAATTGGGTGCATAGTAGTAAATATGGTAATAGTCAAGGAAAGGAGCTAGGAAGCAATATGTGTAGGATGCAAGCAAAGTTTTGTGTAGTTATATTTGTTTTAACAAAAATGGGAATATATATGCAAAATGTGTGTCTTCCATAGTTTGTTTCTTTGCTATTCTATGTTTTTTTTAAAAAAATCAGTACATGTTTCGATGTGAGATAGCTTCAGTTTCTGCAGCAACCTCTAGTTTCTGATGTGACTTTCTCCAGCCTCTTTGTAATGTATAACATCGCGAGGTATCTTTCCAAAATAGTCTTCTCCGGTGCCTTCAGATATATTTCCTAGGACATGCATCTACACCTAGTTAGAGTCGGTTCACAAGTGTCCAGTAGAAGCTTCAGTGATATCATGCGTAACATTACATCGTCCACTCCCTGTGGACTCTTTATTGTAAGAGTCTTATGCAGTGGTGAAATGTAAAATTTGTTACTACCAGTTCTGTGGGCGTGGCTTGGTGGAGGGGTTATATGACTAAGTGGGCGTGGCCAACTTGTTTTTACTTTTAAAACCATTTTTTCTACAACTTCTTCAGCTGAAGAGGTTGTAAAAAAAATGCTTTTAAAGCCTCTGACGATCCCAGCTGACTTGCCTGATTGGCAGAAGCTTTTTTTTTTTAAAGCCTCTGACGATCCCAGCTGACTTGCCTGATCGGCAGAGGCTTTTTTTCCTTTTAAAAACATTTTTTCTATAACCTCTTCAGCCGAAGAGGTTATAGAAAAAATGCTTTTAAAAGCTTCTGATGATCCCAGCTGAGCCGCACGATCATCAGAGGCTTTTTTTTTACCTTTAAAAGCATTTTTTTTGGCCAAAGAGATTGTAGAAAAAATGCTTTTAAATTTTTTTTAAAAAGCCTCTGATGGTTGCGCGGCTCAGCTGGGCAATGGGGGGAGGCAGGGATTTTTGCTACCGGTTCTCCGAACTACTCGCCTCCATTGCTACCGGATCAGGCGATCCGATCCAAACCAGGAGCATTTCACCCCTGTTCTTATGGCTGAATCCATGTTTGATATCAATTTTGACTTCTCTTGGATAACCACAAAGTTTCACTATTCCTCAGGAGTTCTTTAACTCACTCGATTACTCTTTGAAAATCCCAATTTTTTTCCTTCTTTTTTGAACATTGGTGCCATATGTCTTCTGGAATTTTGGACAGATTCATTTAGTTCAGCAATAGGGTCAAAAAGCTAGTATTAGAATGGATTATTTAAATTTAGTTGTATGGTTTTCCATTAATGAGACATTTTCATGCTTGAACCAAATATACTTATATATTAATTACAAGGCATTCTCCCTTTTTCTTTCCTCTTCGACATCAAACGATGAATATACACTTCAGTGTTTTGATTCAGTTTACCTGCTTGCTTCATTCTCAGCTCTTCATTTTGATTTAAAAAACAACTAATTTTAATATTTTCTCCTAGTATTTTGTTTAATTAATGAAAGCCAAACTTTCTTGGTGCATCCATATTTGTAAACTAGAATACTGTTTGCAGATTGATTTTATATGTATCACTATTTGTCACTTCTTCTTCTTCTTCTTTTGTTTTCTACAATATTCTGTCAGTTATTTAAGGGCAGAAGTTTCTTACCAGAGTCATGTTCCCTTATTGGAACTTAATTTCAAAAGATCAGAATATCTCTCTGATTTCCTTTTGCTGCTTTTTCTTCATGTAGCTTCTAAAGTGCCATTTACTGAAATAGAAGTGATCCAGGATTCACCTTATTCCTTGACCTTTGTTTCTGTGAAAATACTATATGTCACTAATAATTCTAAGTCATCCTTATTTTTAAATCATATTAATCTTAATTAGCTTGTTGGCAGTTGTTACTTGAAAACTTCTAGGTGCTAAGCTTAATTTCCAAGGCGTTACTTCTCATATACCAATATAAAATGTATTTGGAAACAGCCTGTCTTCCTTTATGCCCTCGATCCATAGTAGTTTACCTCAGGACGTCTTAATTCATTTCTGCAGAAATGTGTTTGCCAGAATGGAACATGTACTACCAAAACATAGCTTTAAAAAATCTTTAAAAGCTACCAAGGCATAGTTTAATAGCCAGTAGAGATAAGCATAAAAACTTGAAAAAGAAAGTTTGAGACTAGAGGCCATGCAGATACCATGGGTGGATTACTTAGCTGTGAGAAAAAGCATTAATATTTTGATTGCTTTGTTGGACAGTCCATAATTTACGAATGGAGTTCAACCAAAAAAGAAAAAGCAAGCAAAACTGAAATAGAAAAAAACCCTTACCTTCAAATGTGGAATACTTAGCCAAACTGGCTCTCCTGTTTTCTTAAAACTCACGTTGTCTGTTGGCAAAAACTAAGAATGATTTTAAATATAAGTTCCATTTGGACAGTGTTTAAAAATGCTTCTCTGTGACCACATGCTACTTGTTAAATTTATCATTATATCAACTGGATAATGTGTGAGTTGTTTAGCTGTTTACAGGAATTTTCCACCAGTGATATGAAATAAGTTGTGGAGGACAGTGTTCTTCTTCACACACACTCCACTTCTCCTCCTCCTCCTCCTCCTCCTCCTCCTCCTCCTCCTCCTCCAACAACAACAACAACAACAACAACAACAACAACAACAACAACAACAACAATGTTCCTTCCATTTTCTGTTCAGAGAAGCTACATTTAACCTCTGTCATACTATGCAACTATTCCCTTTTATGAAGACATGAAGAGTTGGTCATCCTATGTAACAGCAGACATATTGGCTCTCATTGGATAGGATTTTTGGACATTGATATGAAGAGTGTCTGTTACTAGCACATCTTAAAACAACCTCCTTCTCTTGAAGATTTTCTGTCACTTTGAGCTCCGAACATTTAGTCAATGGTGCAAAGATGGATATTTACAGCTTTGTTGATAATAATTTATTGTATGTCAGTCAACAATTCATTTCTCACTTCACATGGCTCATGCTGTCAAAGATTTTCATTTCTGGTTTCACAGAAACCCCATTGGGGCTGAAGATGAATTTAATTTTTGTTCAGGAGAAGAAATACCCCAGTGCCTTGGTGAAGCTATTCCACAAAGTGAATGACAGAAGTTTAGTTTGGTGAAGAGTTAAGTATAAAAAAACTTGTTTTTTCCTAATCCATGCAAATGTTTCAGGAGAATCTGAAAAGACCGTCTCCTCAGCTGACAAGACATGAAGCCTGTCACAAAAGACAGAAAAGAAATGCCGTGTCTGACTTTTGATTTCTCCATTTTTAGAGTAAAGTGCAGGCACGTTGGCACATTTTCTCCTTGACAATTCCCTGTCAATAGAACCTACTTATCCCACTTCTATTGGGGTCATTAGAAATGACAAAGCTTTGGGCTGATGGTTCATGCGCATCCTCAATTTCAAAGCCTGATGTTAGAGAAATGAATCGTTGACATGACTCATATTTTTAACTAATGTTATTCTCGCAGTTCCTCCATTGAATCTTGGGGACTCTGGTGTGTAGCTATGCAGTGCAATTTGAAATACAGTTCCCATGGTCCTTGGCTTGAGATGACTGGCTCTGATTCCTTCCATGTTTGTAATGCATATAGGACTTGATTTTCTTTCTCTGCTTGTTCTTTTTTTTTTTTTTTTGTATCTCCAGATGTTTCTCTTTTGTCAAATGAGACACTCTTGGCACATCTGAAGGACACGTGTCACATTCAGTATAAACTCGGACAGAGCCTGCATGGCGCAGATGCCCCAACCTTCTGACTTTGGTTTTAACAGTTGGGAAAAGTTACCGCTAACCTACATATGCTATGTGAGCAAGGCAAAAACGCCAATCAGCTGCCAGTCTGTGCTTTGGCCCTGCAAATACTTGTTTAAAAAATGTGCAAATGGCCTCTAGTCTCTTTTCTTAAGGATTGTATTTCCAAGAAGGAGTTGTTGCTTGAACCCCTGCAATGTATGTACATGTATGATGTGTCTTTAAAAAAAAATAATGCTTGAAGATGTTAAGCGTCTGTACCAGGAGTTCAGTCTCCAAGGCAATAAATGTCTAACTGTAATTATAAGCTGTGCCAGAGTCATTTTTTTTTATTAAAAAGTTTTTTATTTTATAAACAAACAAACAAACATACAATTCTTAATCAATCATACAGTGTATCATCTGAGTACATTTTTTGTATCTTCTTGTTATTCCGCCAGTATTTATCATATCTTAATTTTATCATTTCATTTATTGTGACATTCCCCCCAAATTTCTTACTTTTCTATTAATACATTTATCTATCTTTTTCTTTTAGTAAAAAAAAAAATTCAACAACAATTTTATCCTCAACCATCCTTCAACCCCCCCTCCCCACACACACACACACCGACTTCCCAGAGCAAAAACAGGGTATAACATTTAACAAACATAAGCTAAAATAAACTAACTTACTACAAGATTCAAAACTCCCTCACACTCTTTAACTCCCCTTTTAAAGATTATTCATCAACCTTCCTTTTATAAATTCTCTTATCACATTTCACATTTGTTACTAAGATCCTTTCTATACCTTCTTATCAATAAGACATTCTACAAAATACAAGTTTCAACACTTTTAAAAAAAAAAACCATTAAGTTTTAAGTTAACCATTTTTTTAAGAGAACCATTTTTAGCAATACTTAATGTTTTAATCTTAACTTTCTCTACTGACATATGAAGACGGTAACACATTTGTAATAACATACAGGTAATCCTCTACTTATAACCACAATCGAGCCCCAAATTTCTATTGCTCAGCAAGATATTATGTGACCTTTCTTGCCACAGTTGTTGAGTGAAACATTGCAGTTGTTCGGTTAATAACACGGTTGTTAAGTGAATTTGGCTTCCCCATTGACTTTGCTTTTCAAAAGGTCGGGAAAAAAAGGTGATCACATGACCCTTGGACACTGCAACTGTCACAGATACATGCCAGTTGCCAAGCATCTGAATTTGGATCACGTGCCCATGGGCAGGGCCGGATTTAGATGAAAAGAGGCCCTAGGCTATTCCACTTATGAGGCCCTTTCACCTATAGTGAAAGTGTAATTTTAATTTTGCTAACAATTTGAATGTAGGCCCCTCTTGATCTTGAGGCCCTAGGCTGAAGCCTAGTTAGCCTATAGGAAAATCCGGCCCTGCCCATGGGGATGCTGCCACAGGATTGCGTGAAAAACTCTTGTGTCACTTTTTTTCAGTGTCGTAACTTCGAAGGTCACTAAATGAATGATTTGTAAGTCAAGGACCACCTGTACCTATAATAGTAATGGAGAATGAAACAACCAAGTCAATGAACAACAGGAAAATACAAAAGGGGGAAAATGCAAACAGTAATTTGTAGTAGACGAATCTACAGCAAAGCTCAGCCTTTGAGTAGAATTGCTGGGAAAGTGGTCAGAGCTTTTGTTCAGCAGCTGCATGCAAATGACTGCATTTGCAAACATTTCTCCATTTTTAAGGAATGTAAGAGACAGACAGACAGTTCTTCTTGCTATCAGTGGGAAATTAAGAGCTCTCATGGAAATTCAGGGGACAGATTGCATCAGTGGCAGGAAGGAAACGGGCCCTGCAGTCCTGATCTGAAGATATGCAAAGAGAAGGGAAACTAGTAAGCTGGAATCTTTAAGAGGATTGTGCAAAAAGGAAAGCAAAAGATAGCAGGGACAGGATAGGTCTTATCACTGCCAGTTGGGAGGTATCAATTCTGGATCTATAACCAAACCTGAGGAGGTAGGGAGGGAAACCTTTGTTTTGTCTTTTGCTGACCCTGGGGTAGAAAGAAACTTTCCCTCCTTTCTATCAATTGCCATTTTTCTTTAGAATATTTTGATTCGAGCAGAGCTAAGAGAATTGGCTTCCTATTTAATCACTAGTAGTGTTATTAATAACTTGAGCATGCTAAGTCTGATGACAAGATAAAGAGATTGACAAGGGAATCTTGACAAATGAATTTTAAAACAGAGAGCTTTTTCTTTTTGCATATTAGCAAGCCATCCAATATTTTTAATATTTTTGAGGGTTTTTTATTTTTAATAGTGACTTTTATCTGTAAGCTTTTGCTGGATTTGGGATAGTTACAGTATTTCACTGCTGTATGAAAGAAATGCTGGCTTGCTAGCTTTTCATAAATTAGATTGTCAACCATTTATTCAGTGTATATGATTTTTACACAAATACATGTGTTTTACTTGCTCAGTAATACATATATTTTATTTCCTCAGTTAAATACTGGGCTTAATCCTGCTGAAGTTACTTGGGTTGAAAATAATATACCTTGGAGGGAAGAAATGGACATTGTTTCTTTTGCAGTTAACCAAAGTTATATCAAGCCTGTGATTTGTATCTTTTACTGCAAATTTATATTGGTCTAAGGTAAAAGTAAAGGTTCCCTTCACACATATGTGCTAGTCATTCCTGACTCTAGGGGGCGGTGCTCATCTCCGTTTCAAAGCCGAAGCGCCAGCACTGTCCGAAGACGTCTCCGTGGTCATGTGGCATGACTAGACGCTGTTACCGTCCCACCAAAGATGGTCCCTATTTTTCTACTTGCATTTTTTACGTGCTTTCGAACTGCTAGGTTGTCAGAAGCTGGGACAAGTAACAGGAGCTCACCCTGTTACATGGCACTAGGGATTCAAACCGCTGAACTGCTGACCTTTCGATCAACAAGCTCAGCGTCTTAGCCACTGAGCCACCGCGTCCCATTGGTCTAACTTTCCCAATAATCCGCTCATATTTCTGTTTTTTTCCTGTCTTGAATGCAGTACTTTGTTATGGCTGCCCAGAGCATTCAGTGCTGAAAAGTTCACATCTTTCACAGGTTCATAACAATTGATCATTCGTTAGAAATCTGAAATATTGTCCTGAAGGGATAATTTTCCCCCTCTCCAAATCAGAGGTTTTCAGCTCCACTAATCCCTCCAAGTCCATTTCAAGCTGCTTACCCTATTTTAACAGCTCTGGAACAATTTGGCATTTGGCTGATATTTCAATGTCCTGTTCAATTTTTGGCACTTTTTTTCTTGGCATGCTTCTTAATTAAGCTTATAACGGGCAAGCATGGTCCTTTCAATAAGAGGGTTTTTTTATTATAGAGTCAATCTTTAGTCATCGGTGAAGATAAGAGAGAGAAAGAGAGAGAGAGAGAGGGAGAGAGAGAACTTAGAAATCATTTGCAGAAAGAAAACAAGCTAGCAAGTTGAGACAAAGGATGTTTTGCTTTTGCCACATTCAACAGGGCACATTATAGGCAGGGAAGTTTTCTTATTTTTACCTATAGAAAGGCTAGGAAATTAGTGCTGCTGAAAGAAGGAGCGGAGTCTCACAATAGAGGATCCTGTGCTTGATTTTCCCAGCTAGACAATTGCTTCGTTCTGTCTTCTTGCACATTTGAAACCCAGCGGCCAGTCACAGGAACCATGCCAAGCATTCAACGACAACAGACTTAGTCTATTGCCATTGCGGTCAACTGAGGTCAGTAACCCAAACTGCCTTAGTCTCAATGCATAGCTCTCATCACTTCACAGGGGAAAATAGGAGGAGGAAGATGTGTCGGATATGTTTGCTGCCTTGAGTTATTTGTAAAAAATAATAAAGGTGGGATACAAAATAAATAAATACAGATGAATTAATATATAGAATAGAATAGAATTCTTTATTGGCCAAGTGTGATTGGACACACAAAGAGTTTGTCTTCGGTGCATAAGGCACAGAAGACAAATTCCTTGTGTGTCCAATCACATTTCGCCAATAAAGCTATTCTATTCTATTCTATTCTATTCTATTCTATTCTATTCTATTCTATCCTATCCTATCCTATCCTATCCTATCCTATCCTATCCTATCCTATGGGCTGTCAGCCTCCTGAATGAGAAATTAGATCATAACTATGTAGTATGATTAACTGCAGGGCAGGCGCAATGTGTAACATGTTCAATAGGACTGGTGTTGTGAGAGTAAGAGTCTTACTCTTACTCTCACTATTGGAAGATATAAAATGTAAAAAAGACTAAAGAATTGATAATAAATTTATTGACCGCAGCAAGGCTAATGATTTCTAGGAACTGGAAGATACAAGGTGTTTATAGTTTAGAAGATTGGTATAAGGAAGTATGGGATATTGCCATAAATGATAAATTGACTTGCAATATTAAAGTAAGGAGGGGCATAATGAAGGTAAACGAATTCAATGGAATCTGGAAACAGTTCCTAATATATGTGTTTTCTGGAGGAAGAGGGATACCACCACCAGAAGAAGCCTTAAGGTTCTGGAAGCAGGAATGATCCCGAGGGGTGGGGGAGCACTTGTTGTTTGTTTGTATTCTGTATATTGTTATATATTATATATTATGATTCATGTATGTTATGTATGTTAATTTCTTTTTTTTTATATGTTAATAATAAAAAAAAGGGAAAAAAAGGACTGGGTGTTTTGTTAATATGATTTCTTGGGTTAGGGATTTTCTGTCTTCACTGTGAGTTGTATTGTGTTGGGGGGGGTGCACTGAGGGAGCTCAACCAATCTCTTTGTACATATGTTGTACACTGACAAAGATTTGAATTGATTCTATTCTATTCTATTCTATTCTATTCTATTCTATTCTATTCGTGCATGTTTGGCTGCTGTTTTTCTTTGGGCTAAAAAACGAATTTCTCTGACGGACAAAAGGCTTTCTCAAACGTTCGTGTCTGCAAGCGGTTTCCGTGACAAACCTGCTTGTAATCTCCCGGCGTGCCCACTAGATGGCAGTAGGGTAAAGCAAGTCCGTGTTCCGCTCCCCTGGCGAGGCTGAGGTCCACCACTTCGGAGGCAACCGAGTTAGAAGACGACTGAAGTGGGGAGGGACGGAGGGAAGGAGTTGAGTGTGAGTTAATGCGGGTTGTTGCTCCGGCCAAAAGTCCGAGCGAAATCGAAAGTGCAAACCTTTTGGGAATGCTGGGTTTTCTGCTTCCTTTGGAGCAGGTGGCTCAAAAACACACGTAATTGAATTAGCATTGAATGCTTTTAGCAGGGAAGGTCCTTCCCTTTTACAGCTCGAAGTGCT